ATGTGGTGACGAGGGTGGAGAAGCCGAAGCCTGGCAATGTTGATGTGAGTGACTTTGGTCGATCAAGGTGTGACTTTCTATGCAGTCTGCTCGTTTGTAGAAGGACTTGGTATGCATGTATGTACTTACCTTTGATGATGAGGGTTCCAAAGTTTGAAATCCCGCCGTTTGGCATGTTGCACACTGTTCCCAGTAGGAAAAAGAGATATAGTTTGATATCCATAAAAGCTTCTCGAACTTGGTATCCCTGGTAAACCGATGTCAGCGAACACAGTGAAGAAAAAACAAAAAACGTCGAGTTGCTTTTCCTTCGACCTACCTTCAAGTGTTTGTTCTCAACACCCGTCTGATTGCCACGCAGTCTCTGAATGGCGATCCTCTTCTCTCGATCATTAAGGAACTTGGCTGTAACTGGCGAGTCGGGCATGAAAATGCCAATGACAATTCCCCAGACACAACACAAAGCACCAATGATGATGAACTCATATCTCCACGAGGCGAGGGCTCCTTTGATATGGCCAATGGCGTAACCAAGTAGTCCTCCGAGTGCGATGCCCAGTCCATTTGCCGTGTACCATAGTCCAATGCGAAGGGGTTGTTCTCGACGAGTATACCACTATATCCTGTCAGCTATAATGTTGGAGATAGACAGAGGGGAGGGGCCAACCATTTGAGTGATAAGCATGAACTAAAAGGTAGAGCGATCAGTAAGATTATCTTCAAATACAGTCTCGAGAGTATCTGGCACATACCGATGGATCAGAACATGCTTCTGCAGCGCCAGCCAGAGCTCTGAGCACACCTAAAGTGGCAAAGCTGTTGCACGCAGCTTGTAACATGAGGAAGAAGCCCCAAAGAAAGATGCTAGACGTTTGATGTCAGGGCACGAACAAGGAGTATTGTTGAAACATTGTTGGGTAAACCACTTACTTGAATCCCACATATTTCCCCAGAGGTAGTCGCTGCATGAGAAAGTTGGTGGGGAAAGCCCATGCCAGGAAACCGAAATAGAACAAACCTTGAGACAGATGAGCAAGAAGACTAAAGTCTTGTTGATCCTTGATCACTCACTACTTAACCAGTTGTACTGTGTTCCATGGAGATTTAAATCTTCTCTGATGCCAAAGATGGCGGCATACGAGAGTGTAGTTTTGTCTATCTTTGGCGTCAGTAAGAGGACAACACTTTTGAATGAGTTATCACAGACCAATGTAAAAGAAAGCATAATTGACAGCGATGAGAGGGAGAATGATCAAATCGATCTTTCGAATTAGTTTTGCCTCCTCCTCGGGATCAATTGCTTCGTGTAGGTCTTCAGGGTTGGCAAAGAGCCTGAGTGCGACATCTCCATCTTGACGTTTTGATTTGGCCGAGAATCGAAACTTTTGGCCAGTAGTCGGCAAGTCTAGACTATTGGATTCGTCGTGGGCAGTGGAAATACCTTTGTCGTCGTTCTGGTCGGTCATGGTTGTCGTCTGAGAGCAATATGGGATTGGAATGCTAGTGTCAAACGCCCAGATATGGCAAAGAATTGGCTATCGATCACACGAGTGAAGCAAGCACCAGGAGACCAACGAGAAGAAAAGGGAGGGTTTGAGAGGGGAGATAGCAAATGGAACTGAGATCTGCAAGACATCTCTTCTTCTTGTACTGTAAGTAGGGAAAACACCCTTGATCGACCACTGCGTCCTTGTCCGAAGGAGAGCATCCCGCTGACCAGGCCGATATCCAGATGTTGGGGTTCGATGACGTGGGGGTTTAAGAGTGGCATCGAGTGGCATCGACAAGGAACAGGGGATAGGTTCCGCGTCGTATTGGCATCATTGCTTGGGTCACTCTTGGAGAGCTTGTTCGATCATCGAATGAGATGTCATCATAATGTCTATCACTTCCCCAGTTATTGCCTCTCACTTACTCCCATTAATGCGGGGAACAACGGTCGGCTATTGACATGGTAAAGTCGGGGAATGTTTCAGGCCATCTACGATTTCAACTGTAGAGGCGTCATGGTGGACCAAGGAGAACTTACTCTGACCTGTATACAGAATATGCTCTCTGGCAGAGGTGGTATACCTAACCGGTCACGTGACGCCCCTTAGTCCATACAGGAATGCAATTGTGACCAGCGTCAAGCGGTGAGACTCACGAGGAACAGGCTTTCCGATCGAACTACACTCTGCCTTCGACTTAACGGCGCCTTTCAGCCACTCTAGTACAGGAACACAACCAACTGTTGTCAAATGAACAAGAAGAGCTTCAAAGATGTGGATGGCTGACCACATGTTTGGCAATGCTCCTCGGATATCCATTGAAGTGGCAAGAGAATTGAAATTACACTCGATGCTCTCAGTCTGGCTGCTGTGACATTTCTCACAAAGTGATAGAGAGCAATATGGCAGTGCCATCTTGAAATATAAAAAAAGTCCAGCATCAAATTCCGACATGCCTAATCCACGTACCAGTTCATCTCCACTGGAAATTGTCCCTTGACCGTCTCAAAACGTGTGCCTCGGAAATGTGCGGGACTCGTAAGGTTCATTTGCACTATATATCCAGCAAGCCGGTAGCTTCCGCGCATCGATCGTCCATACCGGCTATCATCCGTGACTTCTACGAGGACCGCAACCTGGGAGAAGCCAACCTGATCACCCATGACAATCGCTGGTTTTTGGATCGACACCTCCTGCAGATCAGGGACAGATTGGAAGTCAGGGAGGAAAAAGACATCCTTTTGGCCACCCGGAAGCTCGATGATATAAGCTGAATTGCCCTTCTGGATAGCAATAGGGTCCAAGAGGCTGACGGAAAGGGCCATGAAGTCGAACCCATCTCCTGTTGCTAAACCCAATGTACTGAGTGTGTTGCTGGGCACCTTGAATCCGGTAATTGGCTGCTCGAGGAAGGTTGATGGTGCCCAACGAAAGCCAGGAGTCTTCAGCCTTGGGCCACTCACATAGATCAGATTTCGGGGCAGCCGATAGAGATGTCGATATATGTCTTCCATGGAAGGCATTCCCTCGAACTTCTCCAGGTCAATGTTCATCAAGGTTGCAATACATACCGGTTCGTCCTCTGCTTTGGTGGTTCTGCGGCGTTGGAGATTTCGCACTATTGTGAGCATTCTCGAATCTTGGTGGCCGCTCAAATTCTCTTTGTCCTGCGAATTTCGAAATTCGCCGCGGTCCAGAAACATAGAGGAAAGAAAGTCACGTAGCCTGCTCTCAACTATATCTGGCGTCGGCTTCGGGAACCCATCGCTGCAGAGCGACCTGACCAATACTGGGCGGTCTTGATATTGAATGTAGAGACTATCAAAATCCGGTAGCAGGCCTTCTTGTAAGGTCCATAACCGGCTCATCCAGTCGGAACATAACGCTTGACACACTGCTTCGGATACATTTGTTGATTGAACTTGAAGGAGTTGACGGTCCAGGATTAGCACTTTCGCGGCTTGCTTGTATGTCGTCCGAAGCCTTGAAATAGACAGCTTTCGATGTCGCTTGCTATGAACGGGAACACATAAAGTATCGATCCAAAGTGCGGTATCATGTCCAGGGCTGACTTTGTCCACCAAACTAGATAGGCGGCTGATCTGACAGCCAGGCATGGAATTTGCGTGTGGGTTACCGAGGCCGTGGGCCCTTTGGCTTTGGTCAGTCTTCGCGACTCTGCAGTGAGTGTTTACTCTCGAGAGAACGAGACTCACCATACATGGCTGATGGCAACATAATCATGTGTCGCGGCGTTGACAACGTTGACTTGTATCTTCCCATCGACCTGATGCAGTGTGACAGCTGGAAAAGATCCCTGGTCGAGTATTTCTATGAGTTCCGACTGGTCAACGACCACTTCATGGCATTCGTCGCTTCCTGGGCATTCCGATTTCGCGTGCTGGCAAGTCACGTCGCCGACTTGTTTGTGTACTTTGAAACACTTATTCTCTGTGCATTCCAGATGCTGTTTGTCACCGTAGTAGGCTGGGAGTAAGCTTGCGAAATATGCGACAGAGGTATTTCCATGTAGAACACCTTGAATCGAAGCCAAACACCAACCGTTGTTTTGCATCTTTTTCTCCAAATAGAGTCCGGGGGAGGGCGACATAAAAGCAACTTTGACATGCGTTTCGCGTCCTGAGAGCAATCTGAGTGTGTCGTATATGGTCTCGACAAGGATAAAGATTGAGAACATGATTGATGGAGTGAGGTAGTTGTACCAACTGTCGAAACGTTTGACAGCGGCGCCGAGCCCACCAGCAATGTAATTCAGCCCTTGCTCTAGCTCTTCGTGTTGTTCTTGAGTGAAAGGTGTCTCTTTCGCGGATATTGCGGCAAAATACTCAGGCCAATGACACGAGACCACTGTACGCTTGCCATTCTCCTCAATCTTGATGAAGCGGTCTAGGTCAATTGGAACCTGGGATACCTCAGAGAGAAGATGTAAGGTGCCAAAATAGAACCACTCTTGTAGAATGCTTTCCGCCATTGAGATCTTGTCTTTGTCTTCAAGCATTGTAATAATCCCTGTCGCAGTGTGACCTAAACGCTGCGGAAACTCGGCGAAGCCTTGTCGGTCATAAGACACTATATTTCGGTGTGGGACTTCCATTTGAAGCCTCTTGCAATGATCTGGAATAGGTAAGTGGTCCATTGTGGGCTGAAATTCAGTGCTTTGGGTGAGATGGGATGACAATCACCCAGATGGTTGGATGAAGACCGTTCAAAGCAGATATTTCTGGTGGGTGCTGAATCCTGGGCAACTACACCACTACATAGTGCCAGAACGTCTTGCTTACGTGGCCCAATCAGATAACGCGTCCTTCCAAGAGTCGTCAGGTTCGACACTTCTACCGAGCGCCACAGCATTGAGACTTGGTTGTATCAGTACTTTCTTAGATGGTTTTGTGACGCATGCTGTTAAATGGGTATATGCCCGGTTGGCGTGGGTCTTAGCTCCATTGGAATTGTAGATATATACATTATTCGAGAGCACACAGACAAGGCTCATTTCCATGTAGAATTCGGAACAAAATCCGTAGCGTATGCCTTTCCGTCTAAAGCATGGATATCGTCTAGGGTTGTGATGGAGTGGTTAGATCCGTGACGAGAATCCTGTGTAGATGGTTTAGGATGTTCCATTGGTAGCAATGATTCTGGGTCGTGAGACGGTGATGGTGATGGTGAAGGGGGTTTCACACAGTCAGCTGGCATCTCATAATATACTGATGTCGCATCTGGACCCGAAACATGTAATGTGGGGAGTTCGACTAGACTTTGCTGACCAGAAGAGAGGTGAGAACTGGTCTGGGCGTGATCGGATGTAGTGGAGGGTGGTTGGTGGATTTTGTTTCGTCGAGGGAGGGGAGGAGGTTTTGGGTATGAGCCAGGAAGTTCCATTGCTGCAGGGGTCGGGGACCAGGTAGTTGGGGCTGTGATGTTCGTCGCTTGGTTCATTTGTGGAAGAGAGTGAGCTGGGAGTGGGCTGCTGGGACTGGGAGTCAACATAGGGGAAGGTGGTAACGCTGTAAACGATCCAGGCTGACCAGGACCAGTATTTGGATAGCCATAGATCTGAGGGTTCTGATGAGTAGTTGGGGCTGGAGAATAAGCCTGGAACGATAGGGCTGGCTGAGGTTGGAAGTAATGAGACTGATTCCCGGGTGATTGGACGTGGGGATTGTATGGAGATGGCGATATTACAGGTGAGGGCAAAGGTAATGGTGGGCTCTGGTAATTCAGCGGTGGTCCCTGGTTGGGATATACTACGGGAGACTGATTCTGATAAGTCGAGCCTTGGATAGGAGGAGTCTGTGACCAAGATCCAGGAGATGGAGTCATGTCCGGAGAGCTAGACCAAGACCCGTGAGGTTGATGAACTGGCTGATGTTGACCATATTGTGGTTGTAATTGTGGAGACGGACTAAGACGAGGCGAGTATGAAGTAGATGGTCTGTTGGATGGACGATCGTAATTGAGATGGTGGCTGAATTGCGACGATAGACTGGAACTTGGTCTATAGTTGGATGAGGGTTTGGAAGACGATGTCGAGGGTAAAGCACCGTTGGTATGCTCGTTGGCTAATGCATACACGTCTCTCATGAAGTTCATGGACTTTTTGGCTAGAGAAGACATTTTGGGTATCACACAAAGGTGTTATGCGCATATCTCGATATGGAATTTATAACAGGGTCTGATATTGTTCATGTTCGGCGAGAGGTGGGTTCTGTATAGACAGAGACCAGTATTGGTGGGACACACAGACCTGCGCACAGAATCACGCACAAAATCGCGCACTGAATCTGAGCGTTATGGCATATCTGATAAATAAGAATTGATTTTCGAATCTTGATCGTGTTCGAAGTCTTGGGCACAAAAGATGGAAGATGGCTGGGAGCTCGTATTCGCATGCCAGGTTTGGGACGTGGTACTTACACCCATCAAAAGGAGATAGACCTCTACAAGTCCAAGTCTATGTATGTGTAGGTTCCTTGGGCTGTCCTTTGGCTTATCCTGCAAATTTGTCCTGCCTGGAAGAATTTCTTTTCTACTGCTACTTTTACTTGGAGCTACCGTAGCATCCCTGCCGCTGTCTGTGCCGCTTATTCTCAGCACCGCCAATGACTGTCAACGTGGCCGAAATTAGCGTATACAGATGAAACTTGTGGCGTCGAGCTGAGGTCCAGAATCCTAGAAATAAGTACAAGGCAGTCTTCTGCCGTCGTCGTCGACGTCGTGGTGGGCGTTCAAGCACCACTACAAGTCAATCAGCTGAAATGTCACCTAATGAGAGCGGTCGAGCTGTATATTCAGTCGGATCCACTGCTAGAATAGTCACGCGTTGCAAAATTTAAGAGCTGGTCATGAATTCTAGAAATTCATGACATAACTTTTCAATCATTTCCACATATCAAGCCATTAATATCATCATCGTGCAAGTCCAGCTCCATTCCTCGACCATCTGTATCGAGCCAGGACAAATGCCAACTGCTTCTCTGTGTCAACACTCCGTCGTCCTTTGGCGAGTCCAATTGCAGCTCTCATGACATTGCGAAACTGCCGCTGATAACCCGTTGGAAGGGTCACGAAACAAGCCTCGGTCGCCCGAATGACTGCCTCACACGCATCCAGGATCGCCGTGCCGGAATCTCCTTGTAGGCGGTAGGCCACCAGCAACAGAAGCAGACTACCATGCAATAGTTGAATTCCAAAAAAGTAGGGCATGAAGCTGATGTCCGGATCTTCCGAGATGATTTTCTTAACAAATTCCGCCGCCGCCATTGTGTGAGACATCGAGTCTTTGAAGCTGGGCGATGACGTCCAGAAATCTGCATCCTCAAACAGGCTGATGGGATCCCATTTACTTCCCATCAGGATCCGGAGCACCGAAACGACGTGGCTTGCATACCCATTCACCGTTCGGGCAAAATGTGAGGCTTCCGAGTCATCCGTCAGAACTGCGGGCGACGGTGACCACGAGGGGTCCTTTTCCAAACTACTGTCGTCCAATGGGTTTCGGAAGGATGCCAGCTGTTGATCCATACTCTCCTGGAATAGATCGATTTGTCGTGTTATTCGACGCTCCTGTGAGCTCCACATGGACGATCCTGCAAGCACCGGGTTGTTCTTGGCCCGGTTGTAGTCGAGGAGATGTCCCGTCGTGACCATCAAAGGCAAGAACCATTCAAATAAGCCAGGTCCAGAGTAGGTGATCGGGGGTCCATGAGCCCGTCCCACTCCCATGGGCAGAAGCATACACCTCGGGCCATCTGCCCGAACGCCGTGGCTGTGTGGCTGCTGGTTGGACTGCCATGCGATGTCGTCCATAGGTAACAATAATCCTTTACACTCTGCTTCCAGCAACGCGAGAGAACGATTGTAGCACAAGGCGAGATGACGATCCATGAGGAACAAGAGCCACCAAGTGCGTCTCCGCTCTTCTCGCTGTACTTCGGTCATGACGTCCTGGCCGAAATCGACCATGGCGGTACATTGGCAATTGTACGTCGTCTGGTAGTCGGTCAAATCCGAGTTGGTAGGGCGACACTCCACCTCCTCGTTGAGCTTAAGGTCTCGAGCGAGGTTAAAGGCGACATTCCACCTGGGACTGTGTGAGTGGAATTGTCAAAAGGGATGATGGGTGAGGGCCTTACCAGCGTATGCTTGCAGCCTTTTTCTCGCTCCCGCTAATGACCGAGGATACGTGGATCAAGGCAATGACATAATCCATGCCACTCAGCGTAAAGGATTCAGGTTCCTGGTGGGGTTCTAGAGCTCTTCGAATGTCTTCGTTGGTCCAGCCTGCTGTAGAGCCATAGGTCGGGGGAAGGCCAAGGTCTTCCTGGCTCAGTAATGATTCATACCTGGCCGGATTCAGGAGGCGATATGTGGTCAGACTGAGGTACTTGCAGACCCGGTCTCTCTCCTCTGGACCACTAAATAGTCCCAAGGCCTTATCGCTCAGAGATGCGACAAAGAGCATGCTCGCCAGGAGAGCCGGGTGAGTCTTCCGTGGGCGAACCGGGTCAAGAATATCATCTTTGCGAAGGATAAAGTTGTGGATATGATGACAAGTCGGATGCATGCGGGTCGAGTAGGCACTGGAAAAATAAGTATCCAAAAGGTCACAGGCAAGCCCAGAGCCAAAGTCGGCGTCGAGAAAAGGGGCCAAGGCTTGCAGAACGACATATTTGCAATGAGCCAACGGCTGGGTGCTCGGGGTCGGGGGCTCTCGGGAATCTGCAATGGAGGGAAGTCGATAAGAATATGGATCAAGAACGTGAAAGGTAGGTGAGACATAGGTGGATTCTGGCACGATAAAGTCTTTGGTGAGGGTAAAGACGGATGTATTATGATCATGGATGGTCAGATCAGAGGGGTGGAGGATGATGCGGGCGTTCTTTGGAGAGGACAGTATTGAAGTGGTGGGAACTTTGGATACGTGCTCGTCGGAAGCTATTGCTGGCGATGAGGCCTCTCGAGGCAAACTGGGGGAGCGTGGAATCTGCTCTGGTTGGAGCATAGGGGGAGTTGTAGGAGGTTCGGATCCAGCGTCTGAATCTGGTTTCTGATGATTATAGCGACATTCACGACCGAGTTGCTCACATCGAGCGCAGGGTTGGGCACCGGTGCAGCGGATTTTGGAGCGTCTGCAATGATTACAAGCTCGGAACTTGTCGTTGATGATGCGATGGTAGGGACGTTGATCAGCATTGCTGCTGTGGGTCTTGAGGTGTCTTATTAAGCTGTCGTTCCTAGCGAAAATCCGGCCACATTGAGGACAGGGCGCGGATGCTGGGGTCCGTCGACGAGTGGCTCGCTTCATCCCCATATTGGCGGCCATGTGCAGTCTCTGGCCGTGCGAGACATTGGCCCGCGTCAATGATGAATTGGGATTGTGGAGAAGAGAAGAAGATTGGTGTTGAATGAGAATATTGTTGGAGAATGGATGAAGGAGAAAGATGATGAAAAGTTTGGCCGCCTTGGGATTATGGTCTGGGCCGAATCAAAGAAGGAAGGCACAACCAGTGGCCAGACTCGAGCGTTCTTGCCGGCTTACATAGTTTCAAGTTATGGATCTGGGGAAGGCGCTATGCTGCAACCAACAACCCCAACCCACCTCCGCTCCTTCCCTTGCGCTTGCGGAGATGACAAGCTTTTGGCCCCCAACCGATATCTGGTATCTGATATTTGATACTTGATACTTGCTACAGACCGACCCTGCTTGAAGAACGGCCGTCCTATACTCACTTATTGGCCCTCGGCCCCTCCACCGTGAGACCTTTTCTTCCGTCCGCTGACCGCCGACCGCCTCGGATACGGACAAGGCGGGTCCAGGTCCGATGGATCGGTCGGACCAGTTGCTACTACGATCCATACCGGCTTATATCACTCATGAGCTCAGTCGAAGAGCTCCATTGCCTCACCGAGCATAGTGTCAAGCACACGATATTCAGTTATATGCCCGCGGCTTTCCCTCGCCCGGAGGGATCGGGATGGTGTTGACGACGATAGTTGAAGCTCAAAGGCCTTGAAGGGAGAACTACAGGACAGGAGGAAGGAGATTAGAAAGTTTGCTGACGGCGAGGTTGTGATTTATATCTTGCTAGCCCAACACCAGGGTTGCTCCATTGACCACACGGACACGGTTGTGGAGAGTATGTGGGCGTGGATACAAATCCGGAGGAAGCAAGATTTGTCCCTGCTGCGGTGTAGAGTAGGATTACCTTCCATTGCGCAACAAAGGTGAAGAACTCATTTTCATCTCACACACATATGCCGTGTGGCATTGCAGCGAATGAAACGTCTTCTGGAAGAACGAGAAGGGAATGCCCATGAACAGTGTTGCAGTGGGAGTGGGCAAACTGTCAAAATCAAGCAAACGGCACTCAGATGCCGGATATGCTTCGACGACCAAGACACGGCCACCACTCTTGTTTCCCTATAAGGACTGTACCAGCAGTGTGCATAGACCTGACGCAACAACTTGGAGCGGGGATCTGGTCGGTCTCTTGACGGTTTCCGGTCAAGTGGGAGGGGTTGGGGCAATGATTATCCTTTGCCGCCGGCATGATGCCATATCGAGGCAGAGCCCGTGTGGACGTATACCACACTAAGTATGTTCCGCAATTTACGTTTTGTGGGGGGACGTCGCATATTCCTTGTATGGAGAGTGGGAGTACAACTCTGTCGGCGATCAGGAGGGACTGACTTGGTGAGAGAGAGTCATCGACATCGACGTGTCGTCTGATACTCGTACCCGAAGTGACACAACTCATGCGGGGACGACTTTGCGGAGGTGGAGCTGGCCAATGGTGGGTGACCACAGTTGCAGCATTGTTGAAACGTGGAAGAGGGTACAATGCGGTGCGCGTACTATTCTGTGCTCCTGATGTTGATCAATGGCTTGTGAGAACGGAGACAAGTTTCGGCCTGAAAAAACATCTCCATTCATCCGTGTGGTTGCATTTGCTAACAAGGTACTTCTGGTGGACATACTCACTTGATATCGACTCGAGAAGTGATCTTTCAACAGTGTATTGACTGACTGGCGATATGTGACAAGAGAAGATGGCAGATGGCGCAGACGATGAAGAAGAGCGAGAAGTTTTTCTTAATCAACCTAAAACAGGGAAGGAGCGAGGCACACCAAGTATGGACTTTAGGAAGGAGCACATTCCTCCCTCTACTCTTCTCGACATCAATTTACCCAAGTAGAAGTCCGATACTCGAAATGTCAATAGGCATTTTTGGTCTCGAACTCGTGACACATGCGAGAACTAGCATTGGACACGAGGTAAGCTCCGGCGGTCATGTCAAGGTAGAATATTAGGACCGTGTGGGCAATACTATTCTCAGCGCTGCCTTTAAAGCCGTGGCAGCTGGGTTAAGCGCATGTGTGACAATGCCACGAACCCAGCCAGTGTCAAATGGTGTACATCAAAAAGGGAATGTCAAAGATGGAACATAGGGTTGATAACCCTGTTGTCTGAACCACAATTGAGGCTGATGACTGAAGATCCTTGAAGGGGGGAGGGAGACTGCGTTGGGTGAGTCCAACACTTGACAGTATGGATGGAGACAGCGTGTACTCCGGAGCATCCATTCTTGTCACGCCAAATGGTTAAACTCTTCTCTGGCGACATTTATCACATCATTCCAGCTCAAAAACTCGATCCAACCATCGATTGGAATCTAACACCATCTAGAAACTAAGATCATCAAACTTGTTGGTTATATTTACACAGGCAAATGCAATCATGCACATGGCAGAAAATCTGGGTATCAAATGTCCAGAATGCAGCAAATGTCAAGCCCCCCAATGCTCGGGTCAACAGATCATGCAAGACGGGAACCCAGCGTCAGTGCCAGGACCTGACCTGCTTCGCTAGAATGGCCTTTGTGTAGAAAGGCAAATGGCTCGTCATCGTCATTGAAATCATGGCAGTGCCACCTTGATATTCAATAACGGGTCCGTTATCGAGTTGATGAGTGAGGAAACCACCGAGTCGGTGAAACTGGTATCGAAAGTGGTTTCGTCGGGCAGGACCACGATGTTAGCGGAGCCCGAGCCCCCGTCCAGAAGAATGGCGGCCTTCATGGTTTTGTCGATGGGCCTTTGGAACCAGCTGGACTCGCCCTTGGAATTGGCACCGTGCCAGGCGGTGATGGCCTTTTGATTGCCCGAGTTCAGAACTTCAAAGACGTCGAGTTCTCCACAGCCAGTCTTCCAACAAGAGCAATCACCGTACTGCTGGGTGCGGGGGATTTCGGCGTTGAGCAGCCAGATGGCGGGCATATCAGCGTTGAAGCCTGTCTTGCCTGAGAGAGGCATGGAGAATTCGACGAGGAACAGTTTGGAGTCGCCGTTGAAGCCATCTAGCGCATGTGTTAGCGGTGAATTGTTTCACGGAAACGCTTCATTTCTCACGGTAAGCAACGGTGCCGTCTCTGACGGCGCCACAGTCACTGGTGCAAGGTTTGTCGCTGAAAATGATGATCTCCTTGTTATCATCGATCAGAGCGTCGGCAAGAGTAACAGGCGAGGCGGAACCAGATTCGGCCAAGGGGCCAGCATACGCAAGCGAATTGCCCCATGTACTGGATATGATTGTCAACATTATCAATGTCAATCCCGCCTGACCATGAGAGGACTCACTAATCAAAAGTGCCAGACCCTTGACCTCCCATGTTGTTCAAGAAGACGAGACCGTCCGCAACCCCCGAAGCAGCATCGTAATATGCTTGCCGTGCCCAAGTTCCGGATCCGAGGTTGAGGGTAGGTGCCGGTTCAGCGGGAACTCCGACGTCAGGACTTGACACACCCGTGGGAGTGGTGGCAGCAGGGCCACCGGCGTCCAACCACGAAACGATGTCGCCATTGATAGTTGCGGTGATCCAGTCGCCGACAGCCCGTTTCTCCTCGGCATTTTCGGGCTCGGAGCGTCGAGCATTGTGGGCATGGTGATGCATGTGTTGGTGATTATGTCGACGCTCATGCGGCGAGGGATGAAGGGTTCGCTTAACAGAGCCCGAGCCTGGGGTGTAGGACGCGAATTGCTTTAGTCGCAAGGGCCCTCGGAAATGCACAGAGACCTGTGGGAAATGGATCATGTAAGTGGACGTGGTCTGGGCAAGGGAGCACAAATGGAGGACAACTGACCTCTTTGTCGAAAGGGGCCAGGCCGCCCGAGTATGGCTGCTCATCAAAGTTGCAGACACCATTCGACATGGTGGTGACCTTTTTATAACTGCCAGCAGTTCCGAAATTTGAGTACGAGATGGCCTTGACCTGGTTGGAATACCAGTTGCCCGCCTCAAAGACGGCAGTGGCGGCGACTGTGCTGGCAGTCGCCAGGAGGGCACCAGCGCCCCAGGCGTATTTCATGGTTTAGGAATTGATCAAGATGGCGATTGAGGTCCAATACTGGTTCACTAGGAATGGACGAGCTGGGTTGCTGGAGAGGTCGACTATTGAGGGAATCGACCGGAAACGACAAACAATGAATGCTCTTTGATTCGAACGCCAGCCGGTGAGTGTGCTGTATGAATGAGTGGACGGGTACCAGATGACCCTTTGAGTGATTCAAGACAGGCTTGAATAGATGGCCGTTTGCAGCGAAAGTGAAAGGCTGGCAACGAAAAAAAAAGCACGGATTCGGACCAAGTGACGAAGATGGCGTGTATAAGGGAGTGGAAAGGCTGGCTCCAGGGGAGTCAGTGTGCAGCGTGTGGGTGGGTTCTGCTGGGCAAAAGAGTGGACGGAGAAACGAGCGAGGGGGGACAGAATGCAGCGAGAGCGCCAACTTCCAAGGCCCGAGTGTTTGTTGGTAAGATGAAGTCAAGAAGAAAGTGTGGAGAGGGAGGAGATAAAGAGAGCTGGGGACCGAGTATTCGGAAGTCCCAAGCCTTGAAAGGGGAGGACATCTCGGTCGAGGCTGTCGAGCGGGAGGAGAATGATTGGTAGAGGATGAAAGGCGGACGACGAGATATGGACAGGGATGGCAGCCGCTTGAAGACTCAAGACTCTGAAAGAGTTGGCGCCCAGGGCGTGGAATCCACCGGGCAGGAATTTCCTGCATTAGGCGCTGATCCGTGTGTTTTGGTGACGGAGGTGGTAAGGTGTAGGCGGCTGGGGTGGCCGTGAGTGTGAGTGGAAGATAGGGACTGTAGGCACCGTGGGCGCGAGTCATAGGCGGTCATTTGGGCCAAGAGGCTCTTTGGCCCTTTGGCCCTGACCTCAAACCCTGCCACCTTGAAGAAAAGGTTCTAGCTGCCGGTGCAGGTCGCGGGCGCTGCCGAGTTGGTGTCATGGTAGCGACTCCCAAGTGCCTCCAGTGGCCCCAGTGCCCCCTTAATTCGCGGTGAGACGGCGTGTTCACGAGTGCGAGCTCTCCATCAGGGTACCCATCATGGTACTTGGCAGGAGGTCGTGTAAGATTGCGCTAAGAGATGCCCAGGCCTGATTGTCGTCGACGACCTCCCTCAGAGGCTTGTCATGGCCTGAGGACATTCTTGGGACAGCCCACCGCTGGACATTCCAATCTGAAGAATGCGCGTCAAGGCTTGGAGCATGTCGTGGAATAGGTGGATGGGAATGGTAGTTGAAGGCTACACATGCCCTGGCACGCCTGGTTACCAAGGATGAACAGAATGCCGTTCACCATTCCTGGGAGACTAGTGGTGGTTGTTTACTCCGTACATTGCCGAGAAATGTCGACAGTACGTACAGTGAGAGAGACAAGAAAGTCGACAGAGGCGCAAGAGGCAAAAGATTCTCACTCCGAAACAAAGTCAAAAGTGACTCAGATTCTTGACCAGATCGATCTCTCCTCGATCGTACCTTTTTCTGGGAAATGCTACACGCACTCGTTCTCCATCATTGCATCATTGAATTTCTCTCTCTTGTTGTTCTTCTTATTACTGATGGCGATCACTTCAGATCCCCATCCTTCATTCTTGTGTTGCATCCATTCTTCCATCATCAATTTCTCATCATTCCAGTATCCGTCTCTCCAGAATGTCCCACGCTAAACTGGTCCCAATCACCCCCCTCCAAATGATGACTCTCTTTCAAGCCACCCATACCCTATTTGGAAGACATCAACGAGAGGAGTCACCCTCCACATCATGAATCATTTGCATCTGTAGGCGAGAGTCAACCCAAAAGACGCCATCTCGTCGATTATTCACACCTATCGTACTCCGTCCACTCTTTCCACCCATCCTCTACCAGGGTCAGGGTCATGTGTCAAGATTCAAGCCCGACTTGTCCATGTTCGTCTCCACCCATCGCTCCCATTCCAACCCAAACCAACATGCCAACCCAACCCCTAATCTTAAATTCTCCGATCCAACCCACACGCGACCCAAACCGTCAGTGAACCGGCGCTACGCCAAAACGCACGCAAAGGCCAATGACTCGGTGGCATTTGTCTTTTTGGGGCCACCAGCCTTGCATAGATCCATTCCACCAGCTCCCTTAGAGCACTTTACAACACTGACCATTTCCTGTTTTGGGGCCCCCGACCAACCCCAGTCTAACCTGTTTCGAGACCTGAAGCACAGTGCAGTAATTCTTGTTGATGTTGATTAGGTCTTGCAACGCTCACTCGTATTGACCAAAATCTGTGAATGCCGCCATCTCGTTACGATCTCGCTTCTCTTCTTAGATGCGGAGAGTAGCATCAACTACGCAGTACTCGTAACTAACTGGCCAGACCAAGTCGACGCTAAAGATCCAGTAGTAAACAACCTAGATGATGACTCGCGAGTCACACCCTCACAACTCGACGCCCCCAGTCCAAACTACTGAAGCCGATCGACAACAGGAAATTGAGAGTGAGAGTTTGAGTCCATCTGTTGCAGGTTGCAGGTTGCAGGTTGCATTCATGTCTTGCAGGAACTTCTTCCTTCTTCTGTACCTTCCTTGCCCAACTCGTGCCTGTCTTGCTTCTACCTGGCGCCTTCCCTGGCTGGCTGGATGCAGAGATCACCCAGGTTCCTTCCTGTGAGTTTTACTCTGTTCGGTATGTACAACTCGAGCTACCTCATCTTCACTCCGTATTCCGTAGGTACCTGACTTTCTTATTCTACAGTAGCGTCGTCGAGGTAGCGAGCTCATATTCAGATTTGCAATTTCGATTCCCAAGAATTCGACTCTTCTCGACTCTAAGTAGTGATCATGTGCCCAATCCATTCCATTCCATGTCGCAAAGTGTGCTTGCAGTAACGAACTACTACCTAGTACTTAATTCTCCATCCTTATTGGAAAAGTCCCATTTTCTCATCTGGGCAAACCGCAGATGTTTCTGTAGATCCTAAAGAAGAACAGATCTCCTGAAAAAAGCACATGTCTGCACTACACACAGTACAGCATACTATGCAGGTCCATACCTTATGTACTGTACTTATATGTGTAGTACTGTCGATCAAAAAGAAGAACCCACTCCGTACATATCATCGTTGACAAGGCTCTGAAGCAAAGTACCACGCGAGAGCCTAGGTACCTACAGTAGTGTAGGTATCTACGGAGTATATACCTATTACCTACCTAAGTAGTCACCGAGTACATGGTTGTGGTGGTGTGGACGGACGTGCCAACGGTCCAGCCTCCTGGCTATAAGAACCTTTCCTCCTTCGATCCACGCACAGACCCCAAATGTACGGACTAAAGAGAGGCACAGGAGGTTGAACGATGTGGCCGCCAGTCTGTGCGTTCGCGCGCGTCCTGCTTTGACCCAACTCAAGCATTTTCTGACGTCCTGTCACTGATGGCCATGTGGTGGCTCTACATACCAGGTGGTACGGCATGGGTTGGTCTTGTGAGATGTGATGTGCTACTAGTATTCTATCCTAACTTTGTACCAACTGTCTTCTCGGAACTCTGTCGTATCTGGGTATCTTTCAACTCCCAAAACCTTGGATGTTTGTCCAACACGGACCACACCGCGACCTGAAACGCCAACCAGCCTCGAGACCCTGCCCAAGTGTTCCTTGGACCATGTGTTCCTATATGCTCATCAACCATGACGTCTGTTACTTAACATATTCTTATGGCTTTTCGCGGCTTTTCACTTTGGTCCAACCACTTTTCCCTTTGCCTTTGCCTTCGTCGCCAGTCCCCAAAAGTCCGTTCGTCAGATGCGTTGCAGTCGTCATGATACTCCGAGCGTCGTCGTAAGCCGCTCCGTCGAGGGTGCGTGTCTTGACAAATACCGCCTCATCCATTCTCTCTCCTCCGTCATCCCATTCATCAACCCCCAGCAGTTCCCATTCGGCGTTGTTCATCTCCGTCAGGAGATGTCGTTTGAGGGGGTCAGCCACCATGTTGAATTTGCTCAGCCGCCACTGTCGCGTGCTGTTGGACTGAGCCTCCGTCCAGTACAATGAGTGCATCGACTGGTGTGATCCTGATCCAAGACGAGGCACAACCAGCGAACTTGGGTCTTGGTTGGATGACCTGGAACCCCCTTTGGACCGGCGGAGACGTGCGTCTTGTTGTGTCATGGGTGCCATCACTCCCGCTGGAGCCGGAGGTGCAATCAACATTAGGTACAATATCCGACCGATATTGCACACCTCTCCCCATGTTTCCGTCCCTTGCAGAAAGCCTTGACTCCGTGAGAACCATGCAATATTGTAGGCCAAGCAGGAAATCGCTTCGACAAAGAAACCAAACGCACTCGGGTCTTTCTTGGCGAACTGAGACACGTGCTCATTCGTATCATCAGACCCAATAAATAACGGTCGAGGCCGTGGAAGATTGCTCGATTCGCTTCGTGATTCTGCTGGACTAGAAGGGGTGCTTGTCACGGTCGAAACACTGCCAGGAAACGGCACCTCTTTGCCTAGCCAAGATTGTGGCGGCGGGAAAATGGTAGTCAAAGGGTAGTCTTTGTGAGGCACCGTGATTTCGCACGGGAGTTGAATACCAGCAAAATAGGAGCACAAATACACCAGAAAAGCAGTGTGTCCGAGAACCGCAGTGAGCTCCGTGCACCGCATATCTGATTCGCAGTTAGCCTTGTCTATGCCGAAGTTTTGGTCAATCTCTTACTATTGATGTCCCGCAAATCTGGAAGCCACAGCCCAGAGATTGCGTAGCACTCTTTGATGGACCCGTCTTTGCTTTTCTTCTTCACTTGTCGCAGCCGAAGCAGTGAAGCAGTCTCTCGGCACAGAACTGCTCTGGCATCGACACTTCGATTGTGCAACATGTCATTTCTGGCCTTGTCTTTCTCCTGTTGTTGTCTACCTTTGCTGAGTTGTTCTTGTCGAGCCACAAGTTGTGCTTGCTTGGCTTGGTCGAGACGAGCCTTGCGTTGTGCAAACACTGCCTTTTGCTTTTCTAATTCGACACGCAGGCTATCAAGTTCTTGTTCTTTTTCTCCAAGGCGCTGCTCAACCTCCTCTTCCTCAATCATAGCCTGTTCCATTTGTACTTTGGCAAGATACTTCTCTTTGTATGCGGTGGCAAGTTCGTTGTTCTCATCATCGGTTGCAGGGTGTAGGTCAGGTTCAAGAACGTGGTTGACCCTCTTCTCCAGAGATTCCTTGTCCAGAAGGATTCGAGCGAGTTCAAGGCGGAGTGGATTGATCAGGTCATGAACACAGGCGGTGCAGAGAACCTCTGATTCTGCCGGACCAGAGTGTTTCTTGCACAGCAAGACATACTTTTCGTCTTGTCCATCAGCGTCCATATCGTTCAAAAAACCTCTTCCAAGTCAATGTTTTTCTTGTTGTAGAGTCGGGCTCTTCAAGGTGGGGGTAAGTTGTTGCAAACAAAGTCGGCCTGTTTCTTCTTCTGCCGATAAAGGACGAGGAGCGGGCGAAGTGGACCGTGAAACATTGTGTTAAGATGCACGGGCAGGAAAGCACGTGCGAGGCTGTTGCAAGTGTTACAACATTGTGTTCTGATGTATTGGCCAGGGTTGGACTCGGTGTTGATGATGGTGGACGAGGTGGCACAAGTCTTTAGAAGTACGGAGTAGATGAATGGATGGGAATAGGCTGCGAGATATGATGCAAGGGCATGACGAGGCTTATTGGTTTGGTTTCTGGGCACCAATAGGGCTGACAGGCTCCCATTTGCGCCCGGTTTGTTAGGATCGAATAGGCAAGGCTCGTGACCTGTCCAGGCGCTGCTGGGGCTCTAGGTTTCGCGCTGGCTTTTGGTGAGGGGTCTATTAGGCACGTGATCTGGCGACACCAGAATTCGCGCTAGTGTAATTAGCGTGTTCTGCTTTGAAGAATCAAGGAAGGAGCCACTTGAGGAGAGAGTAACTGAGAACTTTATCGATTGACCAGCTGGCTCTGCATTTTGATGCGAGGAGGTCAACACCATAAAGAAACATATACGTGGACATATACAATGGATGACGAGGAACGTATCCAGTCGTCACCTACACCCACTCCCCAAAAAGCCGACTTCACGGCGAACGAAGGCGAATCATCACCTCTCCCATCTCACACTCGACACGACAGCATCTCTAGGAAAAGGACCAACGACGACGTCTATAAACCCGTTGAGACTCCAAAGTCAAGTCCTAGATCAGCACGCTTTCACTTGACCCGGTCTCAGCCAGGTAGCCCTACTATTCTTGGGTCTCAGAATACCACGACTGCTTCTGGACAAAAGCCATCTCCATCAAAAATGTCTGGAATTCCTCGAACGGAATTTGGCAAAGAACTCTCAACCTCTGGACGAATCCATGGTAGTTTCGCGCAAGAAATCAAGGACTACGAAAAGCGTCTGGAACAAGAGTTTCACGATTTCGAGCGGTCATTGAACGACAGAGATTCCACAGCGGACCTCGAGCCTTTAGATTGGAATGAACTAGAAGCACGATACAAAAAGGAGATCAAACCTCATCTTGATACGGAACAAGAAATCATGACCGAGTTCAGTGCTCGATTTCAGGTTGGAATCCACTTGTACCGTTTTCATTTACTCTCATTAACGAGTGAACAGCAATTTATGCTCTATATGCAAGTCTCGAATGAGCAAGAGACCGATCGTGCTATCAAGAGGTATAGTTGCCCCTACACCCTATCTAACCTAGTGCTAACGATATAGACTACGAACACGCATGGCACTCGCCCAAAATTCGGAACAAAGCCTGGTCAAGAAGCAGGATCACCGTGGGACACTCCAGCTCTATGTTGCCGAGACTATCTACTGATATAGACTGCAGATAACAAGGTGTTGGAAGCATTCAGAAGCGCCATGAATCTTTTGGGCAGTGTTTGATCGTCAAGTTCAAGTTCCTGACATCAATATCTGATGACTGATCTGCCTCAATCGCCGTGGATGGAGATCTGCGGAAAGTGGGGTTCTGCTCCACTCTGGCACTACGTCATTCCACGTCGACCCTTGACGCATTCTTGGATGGACTGCGACTTGGGGTCTGGCAATCAATCATTCAATACCACAATATCAACCTAGGTGAAGACAAGGTTGTGCAGTCATAACACGTGCACCAAACGCTGGTCTTCTTGATCGATTATGATTTTACGGCTCTTACAACGGTAATGTCTAATGATCGAGGCACGAGTAAAGATGAGGATTTACTCTCACGCTTGAATGCGTTGAAGCAATCGACAGTGTCGTTTGATCGGACTAAGTGAGTGGTGGTCTCAAGTTGTGGTTACATTTACGAATGCTAAACATTACAGTTTTGACGCTCCTCTTTCAAACCCTGCACCGCCCTCATTAGATCCAACCCCCGGCCGCGCCCTTCAGAATGATCTCCTATCGAGATGGAAGTCGTTGGGAGGGACATCATCTTCAGGTGACATTTCTTCTTCAACAGGAGCGGCTGCGGGTAACAAAGCAGAGGACGAAAAGACGGTGGAGGAGCTCTTAGCGGACCTTGGCCCATCTGATGCTTGGGAGATAAACAAGAGTGAGGAAGATCAAGTTGCAGATTTACTGCAAGCCGCAAAAGGTGCTCTTGCCGACGGAACATGGGACACCCAAGAGGAGCATGAACATGTGTCCAATGCTACTTTAGATACTAATAGATCTGCCAAACTACCTGCGGTCGATGTGTCGGTTTTCCAACCCGACCCAGAATCAGACGATGAAGGCGGAGTCGACAATGCTAGGTCCCGCAAAACTCCCAACCAGATTAAAGGCGAAGTTAATGAAGAGGCGGATGAATTACTTGCCCGGATTCTTGACGAAATCAAGCACGACTCGCCAGAAGCAGAGCACAACCAGGAAGATGGGTCAGAGGAGGACCAACAATCGCCGGCTGGATCAGGATCGGGTGATCAGACCGAAAAGCACGACACCAGGACACCAGCGTCATTTAGCCTTGACCTACCAACAACTCCGTCCAAGCTACCAGATCCTGTTGCTGAACCAGACGCCAACGGTAACGCCAACGATGATGACCTCGCATCGCGGTTTGCTGGCCTATCACTACCGACAGTACCAACAAGCATTCAAAAGAAGTCCAGCGGCGGCACTTCACATGCCAAACCTGCGATTGGATTCACCGACGAGGAAATCGATGATTGGTGTATCATCTGCAGTGACGACGCCACATTGCGCTGTGTAGGTTGCGATGGAGACCTGTACTGTACGAATTGCTGGATCGAAGGACATCGCGGTGAAGACGCAGGGATGGAGGAACGCCGACATAAAGCCGTTCAATTCGTCAAGGGTGGAGGGAAGAAAAAGAAGAGTGTTCCAGCAAGGAGAACCATGATGGGCGCTTAATTTGGCGTGGTCATCTACCTACCATCTTACCTACCCACCTATCTACCTTACCTAGCAAGCCATCATCCATACGACACGAACAATCTACCGTATCTAAACTCTATCCTCCAAACTCCTCTCCATCTGCTTCTCCTTGGCCCTCTGACCCAACTCGGCATGAACCTCACCAATATTCCTCCCTTTGACCGGCATGGGCGGAACCACAAAATACATGACACCATGAGCCAGACTCGCGGCAATTGGACCCACCCAAGTAACCCAGGCCCAAGAGGGAAAGCTACTTCCAACGAAAACACCAAAACATCTCGCGGGGTTTAAACTCGCACCACCATATCCAGGCTTTGAAAATGCCAAACTCAACGCCGTGGATCCAGCCGCCAACCCAACCAAAACGGGTCCGAGAGCCGGACCAAACAATTCAGCCTGGCGAGGATCCAACCCGACGCCGAATGCCATGATTAACAAGAGCAAATCCCCGACGAATTCAATGGCTAAAGCAGATCGTACGGATGCCATGTCTTGGAAGAGATAACATCCGCCGACTTTGAACGAGCGGGTATCGGCGGCGGAACGGAGTAACAGGCCGGCGAGGCTCGCTCCAGCGAGTTGACCACATAGGTAGAGTACCAGGCGGGGGAAGGTGGTCAAGCGAGCGAAAAAGGTTCCAATCGTGATGAGTGGGTTCATGTGTCCGCCAGAAATGGCGCCTAATGAGTAAATCAGGAGTGAGAGTGTGATGATTGTGATGATGGATCCGATTAATGGGCCGAGAAATGCTGCTGTGCTGAAGACGCCTGATGTCGGTGATGGAAGAGGTGGTGGTTCATATGGAGATAGAGAGTTGTATGCCGATGAGAAGGTGAAGACTAGAGTTCCTGTGAATGAATCAGTGAATCAGTAAGCCAATACCATGTGACTACCCTGAGAGTTGAGAATTCAATCCATCTTCTCCTGGAAAATGAGTAACTACTTTAGTAAAGTAAGTAACTTACCAATCCCTTCAATAACAGCCGCACGATACAACTCGGCCTGAGCAAATCCTCGAAGATCAAAAGCTTCTCTGAGACTCAAGTTTGGAGCTGCATCCGGCATTCGCTCCAGCAAGACAGCATTTTCCGGGTTTTCTCGATCGACCACAAATTCCTGGTTGCCGCCGAGTCGGCCGGCGAAAGGTGATGATCGCACGCCTGTGGCGAGACGCATTCGCATCACATGTTGGATCATGCCGGAGCGTTTGGGTCGGATTGTGCGAGTGTTGGTTGGTAGGGACACGGACTCGGACTCGCGGGATTGTGTATTTGGGTTGGGGTTGGGTGGTGATGATGTGGTTGTGGTGGCCATGGTTTTCAGTGTTTGTGTTCTGTTAGGTTTTTATTCATCACTGGTCCAGCTGCTGGTGGTGGTGGTAGTAGTGTAAAATTGACAGTGGTGAGATTGGACTTCAGATAGGTGTGAATGCTGTTGTAGTAATAAACAGTGTGTGTTGTAAAGATTGACCTCCTCAACAGTATAATAAAAAAGAAAAGGCTCACAGCCAACATTTCCTCAGACCATACCTAACTTAGATCGCGTTGCTGGATGTTCAAGCCATCGAGATCATCCCCACCAGTTGCTGCGTTGGATGGAACTTGTCAGCGTATGTATTTTTGCCTGGATGAGAAATAGGGTTATGGTTCCCCATATGCAGAAAGTGGAAGGCCGGAGACCATCAACCGCGGAATTGCACGGCCGTCCGAGGACGTGTTGTTGTTGTTCACCAAGGGGGAGGATGTGGCTGACTCAGCGTTCTCGGTTTACAGATGGGATGGATGGATATGGGAATTCATCAGAGTCTTCCCTCATTCTCAGAACCGAGAGACTCCTATTAGCTGGGTCTAATTATGTGCCTCAACCTGATTGCCCTTGTCCATCGTATGCTAATCGTTGATGAACAAGTACTGTGATGGACAGAAGGGAGAATTGTCGAGGGTGACTTCATCACGTGCTACAGAGGGTTTTAAGATCCAGTTCGAGCCCTCAGTTGAGACAGACAAGGTTGAATACAACGATTCACGTAGAATTCAAGTGTGCATAGAGCTGGCTTCATTTTGTACATTGAGATGCACTTAGGAAATCTCTGAAATCCCGAAATCCTACACGGCTTGCAGCCCTGCCCGCTTAGTCTGTCCTCCACTATGCGGTTGGCTGCTCGACCAGTTTCAGTCATCGTCTTCATTACGTTCGATATGATCATCATCAGGGTTCAACAAAGCCCCGACTGAGGTGCTCTCCTCCAAGACTTTCCGCCCAGAGTCTTCGCTTTGTAGATTCAGGTCTTCGATCACGAACGTGAGCGTCAGTGCTGGGACGAGGACGGCACTGACAAAAGCACCGATGCCAACTCCACGGATGACAGAATCTTTCTGCAAGGCAGTCTTCAAAGAGTCGGTCAAGGCCACGGTGATGGCTCTGACCATGAGCTGCGTTCCCTTGGGTCCGTAATACCCTGGTTTGGCAAAATCCACGATCCCTTCATTCAAATATGCCTGCAACTTTTTTCGATTGCCTTTGGCGCTCTTGAGTTGGCTTTTTAATTCGTCCAAGTAGAGGTTAGGTGTTTGTCCAGCGATTATTCTCCTGAGAAAAGAGAGTTTTCGAGGTATTCGAGTCTTCTCGAGGGCTTGCCAATCGATCGTGGGATATTTTCGGTCTTCCCAAACGTCTCTGGCGTCGCAGAGCTGGTGCTCATTGCAAAATGATCTTTGCTGTTGCACCGATAATGACCGCAGGTTTGCTGGAACAGCCAGCCGCTTGGAATCTTGGACGTATTTTCTACAAATAGGACACTTGCGGCTCAGAGCTGGCACGTCAATGTCGAGGTCGATCGGTGACATGGACCTTGCGGAGGACAACGAAGAGACGGATGTCGAGGGACTCTGCAGACCACTGCCTGATGCAAACGAGAAGGATGTTTCAAAGACGGTCGGGACATCTGTCTCAGCACTGGTCGATGAAGATACAAATTCTGGTAGGTCAGGCATCTGAAAACCGGCAGCTGTTGAGCCAGGCTTTTTCTGTGGCAGGTCCGCAATCTTCATTGAAGGCTTGGACTTGGACGTGTTGTTGGATGGCCGTAACCCAGGGACCGGCTCGACATCAACAAATCCTTTCTTTTCTGGCACGGCGACTTTTTTGAGTTGTACTTGGTCATATGAAACATAGCCTGGCTGCTTAGCGACGTTTTCTTGTCTCTCGGGGATAGGCTCTGGTGCTTGGAAAGCGAGCTTGCGATTAGCATAGCCTTTGTTCAGCCTTCTTTTCTGGGATGCCGGAGGGATCCAGAAGGATTCTGTGAGGGACTGGTCGGCACCGACAACCAGCTGTTGTTGATCAGGTTCATCGCGGATGACCTTTCTTGCCTTTGCTCTTGAAGAGGCTCTGGTGGGTGCGGGGCGCTTCTTGGAAGAGAACTGTGACTTTTGTGCAGTGTCACCTTTGGGTGTTGATGAACCGTTGTTGATGGTGTCGGTTGTCGCATCCTCCTCATCGCTGCTCAGAGGTTGAGCGTAAATGGCCAGGTCGTCATCGGTTTCCATGGTCATATGTCCGCCTTCTTCCAGCAATATTCTTCAGCTCTGGTGGTCGCGGGGAGAGAGTGAAACGTAGCGCAGCAAGCGTTCATGCCCGCATGAGCCGCGGAGGAAGATGTGATATGTTCAAGAGGTATGTACTGGGAAACTGGAACCATGCGTTGGGGCTGGGAGGAGGACAGGATCTGACAGATGGATCTTGAAGATCGCACTCTGCCAGACAAGGACTCAAGGAATTGTGCAGGAAGCCAAGGTGATGTTACTCAAGGTATTGTATCACAAACCAGCATGTTTCCTGCAGGTAGTGAGCGGAGACTAAGTAAGTAAAGTGGTAAGTTTATTGATGGTTCACAGTTCAGTCAGCATTAGACAGACACTCAAAGACGTCGTCCCATCAGTCAGTTTACTGCATTTAGAAGGCTGGACCATGCAGTTCCCGGGGCAGTTCCCCAGCCACTAAACCTGATTAAGTAGATTCACTTTCTTGACGCGCCACGCGCCAACCCCCAGAGACGCGACTTGGGCGGTCGTGGTTGCCAAGCTGAAGAAATCCGTGTGGTGAAGGAAGTTAGTTGACTTCATTTCCATGATTACATCTATCTACCTACCTTACAGACCTACCACGATGTCGTCAGTCTCTCTACTCCAGGCACCTCTATGGAAAAAGCCAATGAGAATCAATTCGAAATTACAGATACCCTGCCATGGCTGTCTCTTGCTGGGACCAATGCATGCTGATCTGCCGCTGCATACCGCTGGCTGACTGAGTGCTCCAGGGTAGGCAAGCACGACCAGGCCAGGTAGGCACAACGGTGAATGTAACCCCACCTGCCGTCCCAGACCGCAGCAATAATTGAATGCGTCATACTGACAACAACCTCAACTTTGAGAAACGGCAGCCTGTGGCTGTTCTACTACCACAGCTCCAAGGACGCAACCAGCTCCTTGCAATGTCCTGTGATTTCTTCCATCTCAGTGTTTTGTGCAAACCTCACCACGATGCACCGACCTGAAGTTTCCTTTCGATCGCTAACCATACTTGTTCTGGTGTTGATGAACTGGCCCAGCACATCCATTTGCTCCGTCCAATCCACCCTAATCACCGGCGTCGAGATCCGCAATGCCACCATTGCAGACGCATCACGCATCACCAACATTGTCCAAGAAGCCTTCCATGACTCACCAGAAACCCAGTATGTCTACCAATTCATGGACCAACATCCCCATGACTATTTCAGTTGTGTCTTTGGCCAGGTGAAATCGGTGCTACACGACCCCACCATGATGGTCCAAATTGCCCTTTTGCCGGACAACGATGCTCCTCATCACTTGGTTCCTGCAGGAGTGGCTTTCTGGGAGTTCCCGAATGCCTGGTCTCATGCTCCAACATCATCATCTCTCAAAATGCTTAATGGACTTTTCTTGCCCTCGTTGACGGATGTCAACACCCTAGAAGTGCCTGAAGCTTGTTTAGCAATTCTCAACCTCACCCGTCTCATTGATTTTGACCATCAGCTCACCACTGCAAAGCGTCAATACCTCGACCAGCCGTACCCTCCGTCCCACCAATTCTACCTTGACACCCTTGGCACCCTTCCTGACTATCAAAGACGAGGAGCTGGCGGCGCCTTAGTGAGATCCGGTGTCGATTTCGCCAAAGAGACCATGGGCCAAGATGATAACGTGACGGCAACCCTGATAGCCACCCCAGCCGGAGAGCCGCTATATCTACATTTGGGCTGGGACAGTCTAAAAAACTTCACAGTCACGAGTCTGGACAGGGTGGATGGTGGCGGTAAGGAGGAGTGGGTTTTTGATGTCATGAAGTATGACCTCGAATACGTTCCACAGCCTCGCTAGGTCTGCCATGCCATGCCCTATTTTGACTGCCCTCAAGAATACAATACACACCTGTCTACACGATCTACCCAAGATCTTACTGCATTCAAACTCCATCGATACTGCACACCCCTTGGCTTGAAATGGCCCTACTTTTGTTTCTCACAATTTAGCTTTGAGGGCAGCCTCGTTAAAGGCAAAGTTGAGGTCGTCGGGCAACTCCAGCTCCAGGCGTTTGGTGTTGACAAAAGATGGGTTGAGTTGGTCGAGAGAACTTGCTCCCATATTGCGCATGGTGGTCTCGATTTCTTCACTGAGAACTGTGGGCAGAAACACTGTGAGCGACCTGAGGACGTCGGGAGTTGACATATACAAGACAAGTACTTACGTTGAATGACTTTCATGACCCCCTCATCCCCCATGGCGACTGAATACATGAATGGCCGGCCGAGGGCAACCCCTTTGGCGCCCAGGCATAGTGCTTTGATGACGTCGGCACCGCGACGCACCCATCCGTCCAGATAAAATTCGGCCTTGGTGAGGATGTCGGGATAAAATTTGCGGATCTCCAGTAGTGTACTGATTCCACTCGGGGCGTCATCACACTGTCTTCCTCCGTGGTTGCTTAGATAGATGGCATCGATGCCGTGCTCGACAGCAATGGCAGCATCCTCGGCTGTCTGAATGCCTTTCAAGGCGATGGGCCCAGCGTTTTGCCACGCTTCCCGAATCCAGCCAAGGTCCTCCCAATTCAGAGTGGACGAGTGATGACCGCGTAGAGGCGGCCCATCCTCACTTTCTTGTGGTTTGGACCATTCCGTCAGGAGCGAGGCATCCCCAGACGCGGTTACCAGTTCGGCACGATATCGCTCGTCTTCTTCTCGCTTGCCAACCACGGGTGAATCGACAGTGATGACTAAAGCCTGGTAGCCCAACGTCCGTGCCTTGGTGATGAGTTCGATAGCACTGGATTTTTCGTGGGCGATGTAGAGTTGAAACCAAAGGGCTCCGTATTCGCTGTTTCCTCGCGTTGTGGTCCAGCACTGTGCTAACTCGTCGTGCGGGACGGTTGAGTATGTGCTGGGACAATATGGGATCCCGGCTCTAGCAGCACCACGGGCCAAACACAACTCGCCATCCTCATGAACCAGCTTGGCACGAGCTGCGGGGGCAATGAAAAAGGGCAGGCGGCTCTTGAAGCCGAGCATAGTCCTTTGCATGCTCACCCGTCGCACATTGCGCATGACACGCGGACGGAGAAGGACCTTTCTCCAGTCATTCTGATTATTGGCAAGGGCACCCAGACCATCAGCAGCCGAGTGGAAATAAGCCCAGGAGGCGCGGTCGATGATGCGTTCGGCAGCCTTTTCAATGTCGTCGAGGTTGAGACAGTGTGAGAGAGGAATCCGGGCCATCTTGTCCAAGTTTCGTGACACCTGAGGTGCAGACACTGTGGAGATGGTCGAAGGGTCGACAGGTCCTAGATGCTTATCCGCAGAGAGTGCTTTCTCGATCGTACCAGCTGGATGAATCGGTTGATAGACGGATGTAGCATCTTTGCCAGCATACTGAAGAATGATGGCAGATCCGCCTGGGTGTTTTTCCAAATAATCCGTCACATCGTAGGCTTTGCCACTGACAATGACCCAACACGAGTCTTTGGAATTGTGCTTTGCAACTTCCAACCCATGAAGTAGGTCCGACATGGTTGTCGACAGTGTTCGAGGAAGAACAATGCTTGCTGCTGGGGATGAGGAAGAATGAAAGCAAGCGTTGAGCACAATAAGACGAGATGGAAATTTACTTCGACGGGCGATAGTGATGGGTCTGGTTGCTGCGGAAAACAGCGGTGCTCAGGGTCTGAGGCACGGTGGTTTGGGTGAGCCTCGGGTTACCCCATCGATCTAGGTAGGAAGCCAACCACGCCTACGAAGTATCTGTTAGCATATAGGCCACTCTTTATAGGCTGTTTACAACCTACCGGTCATTGAGGATTACCCACACCCTGGGGTTATCCCCCCACTCTTTGGATGGGACGGCCTTCGTTCCGCAGCTTGTCCAGTCCACAAGTTGAGTGAATAGGTGTTGGAGATGTTCGAATGGGGGTCTGAGTATCTTTTTAGGTGTTAAGCTGATTGGGATTGATCGACAAAAGGATCAAAAGAAGAGTTCTCGACTGTGGGTGTCGCCCGTCACGTGAAGAGGGTCAGCATGAAGGAACGCTCCTTCCTCTCTGCACACTGACTTCTGCACCTTCCTCTAAAGTTCTGTGGTGCAACGACGATGATGGGTCGCACCTTCCTGAACGTTGCACGTCATGACGACGCTCGACGCCGTTCCATCTTTTCAGATCCCATCAAAATCCCACTCGGATCCCCTTCAGATCTCATGCAGATGCTAACTATCGCTATAACGCATCGATCTGCAGTCGCTATAATTAAGGATTCGTACATAGGCGTCCTCCAAGCGGGAACTTAGGTTGGTGCCACATAGCTTGGCCTGAACAACCTCCTCTTGACATCATTTTCTTATTTTTACCTCCTCGCTGAGACTTGACCGCGTATCTGCAATCAGGCCAGCCTCCCATCTAGCCAGGATCTGGTGCTGAACATGCCGTGGGCTGGAACGTGGACGCAGCGCATGTGATCGATGTGGGTGTGAGCTCCCTCTCATTTGCTGACCACTTCGTATTCGAGGCTGCTGTCAGTGAGAGGCTGTGTCCAGAGGCTGCCTTGGGGCCAAATTGTTGAGACTTATAAGACATTTTCTTGGTCGTCAACGTTCTCCATCTTCAGCCCTACGAGCCAACATCTGCACATCAACATGGCCGACGCCAGCACTCCAGTTCCCTACACTGCAGATCCCCTATGGTTGTTCATCAAGGACTTTGGGCTGTTTGCCCGTAACCTGTTCCCCTGGCCTGGTCTATTCGGCCTCGTCATCCCTCCTTGGACTTCCAATACCGGGCAATTGGATGAGCTCTACCCGACCCTTCAGAATGCGTGGGCCGTCTTCCAACACTTGGTTTTGATAGTGGCACAGTCCATCTTTTTGCTCTCTCTTTTGCCTCTGGCCGTTGTCCTTCCGGCTCCGATTTTTTATTTTTCCTACATTGCCGCATTCATCTTTGGAACCCGGCTGGTGACCGTCCTCCTGAACGGATGGAGGCGCAGATTGTACAAGTCGCATGAGAAGTACACCATCGGGCGGAATGTGGACCCGCGGGAGAGATGGGTATATATCAATGGTGTCGCGACAGGGTGAGTTTGCCTCCAGGAACCGATTCTATAAAGTCGTGCTCAAGCAGCCATGCCAGAAAACATTGGCTACAGGCCAACCTCGACCGACTAGCCCTGACGTTCCGTCGACCGATTTATGGCATTCACAATCGCACGTAAGTCAGAGAAGTCTGTCGATTACAAAGGTGTCTCGATGCTCACATTCTTTGGGATTCATCAGAAGCGGAATCATTTTTGATGTCATTGAGTGCATCATCCAACGTGACTTTGCATATGCCACTCTCGACATACGAATTGCATACGCCGAACTGATGGACATGCTGACCGACGAGGACATTTCCAAGGTAGTGCTGATCGTGCACAGTCAAGGAGGCATCGAAGGCAGTCTGGTTCTGGACTGGCTGTATGCAACACTCGCCGCAGCCCAGTTAGCTAAACTGGAGATATATACATTTGGGAACGCGGCCAATCATTGGAATGCTCCAGCATCCACGCTGTCACATCATGGACATGTGACTGAGGGCGGAAGTTCGGCGGGTGGGAAGCAGCCACTCCTAACGACCTCCATCACTCAGTCTAGGCCTTGGGAGAGGGAGTCAGAGACAAGAACCGTCAAGCACATAGAGCACTATGCCAACACATTGGACTATGTTGCTCGCGGAGGTATTCTCCACTTCCGACCAGATCCTCCTCCACCGGGTACTGCTGGGTCTGGTCAGACAACAGCAGCATTGCCTAGTCAGGAGGCCCTAGACTCGAATCGATTTGTTGGGCGGCTGTTCAAACGGACAGGACCGGGACATCTACTGAATCAACATTATTTGGACCCCATGTTCCAGCTCGATTCGTCGGATGCTGTACGAGGACGAGTACTGGATGGCAATGAATACATGGACCAGCGAGTGGATCAGGCTACTTTTGACCGCTGGGATACGGTGCAAGCTCTAGAAGGGACCGAGCCACAGAGTCAGGGGGTCCTGATCAAAGACCTGAGCAGACTATGGAGATACAGGAACGGTGCAGATGCCGATATCGATGCCGATGTGAATGATGGATGAAGATCTGACTTCACTTCCTAGTTGGTTCCTCGCCATCCTTGGCAGTACTTTTGGTCGACGCAATGACTTTCCAAGTTGTCATGATTACGCTTCATGTTAACCAGTCTGACAAGGGTTTCCACCCAGTGATAATGCAGGTTGAATGGTCATCATATGTCCTTGGTTGAATTACGATGGCGTCAAGTGGTCAATTGGCTATTTTGGCGAGAAGTTCGAGTCCAAGATTCTAGCTCCATTTGATATGCTGGTCCTCTCGGAAAGTATTTATCTTTGTGGTCGAAGGTGTGATGCTAGTGCAAACGCCATATCAGGAAATTGGGGCGCAATGCTAAGACTGAGATGAACAAATCAACGCAACGGGAAGGAGCAGGACAGAAGGAAAGTGCGAGGGATGCTGGACATGTTCGAGGCAGGAACAATTACGAGAATCAGAAGCAGGTGCGCAACAGGAAATGGGTTCATCATGTCCATCGATCCTTCCTTCTACTTTGCCCCTCTTTTCCTCTCTTTTCCTCTTCCTCCACAGACGCAGACTTATATTCATCTCATTCTGCTTCTAGCCTCATCACCACCGTCAGATTCAGATTCGACTATCCTCCACCTTTCCGCTGACTCCTTTACGCCCTTGCCCATGTCCATGTCCATACCCCAATACTGTATCTTCCACTTCAACCAAATCAACGCCCAATAATCCCTCCCCTAACCTATACTTATGTAGGCATGCGCAAGCCATCGACCAACTAGTGTGACAAGACCCCGGTCACCATGTCGGCATGCCAGAGGCTCGGTGATTCCAGCCTGTTACCAAGGATGAGTTTATCGCCTACCTTCTTGATCCCTGTCCCCGCGTTTGTCTCCCCGCCTGCTGACTGTCAACTTACTGATCTTTTATCTAGCCCACTGAATCGCCCATATCTCTCTTGGACGGCCGTTTGTACCTCTCACCTCAATGTGCATGGGTATCATCTCAATGAAACCACGTCGAAAACCTCACCTCAATGGCGGAGGTGCCCGAGAAATACCTCTTTGTATCTCCCATCACCTCCACCTCACAGCCCACCAAGTATCGCACAGACTTAATCAAGGCCCAGGCTCGCTCCCATGCTGCCCGCGTGTCTTATCCTCGACACCCCAAGGCAAGACGCGAGACTTGGACTCGACGACCTGATGACGACTCGTCCAATGACGCTCAGGCTGGTATCCCATATATCGCAGAGTCTCGTCCCACCAGCGAAGAACCGTCTCCAAAAGTCAAGAATGCTACCAATCATGTTTCCAGCAATGACTCGAAAGGTCAACATCCTCTCTCTTCACGATCCTCTATCCCATCGCCCCGTCCCTGAAAACTGACCAATCTCTCAGCGCCAATGAACATTGCTTTCCGTCCTAGGAAGCCCCTGGTCATAAAGTTTCGTGTCCATGCAGCCAAGCGCCGGCCAGTCAAGGTCGTTGGTGCTTCCAGATCCTTCGTTCAGTCCCCCAAGATCCCAATCAACATCAGCAAAAGTGCCTTAGACCCCTTTGTCCGGTCCTCGATCGAGCTTTCCGTCCCGGACAAGCATTTGCTGCACCTGTGTATGGCTCTCAAACGTTCCATCTCTACTCCTCTTTCTAACATGATAGACCTTTCCACCGTTCCCGATCAGATCTACGGTACGACAACCGGCACTGTCTCAGAGGTCGCTCGCAATGTCTCTCTCAACGTCATAAGCGATAATGCTATTACCACCATGTGGCTGCTGCTGGTCGTTGAGTCCCAGGTTGTCAGCTTCCAGCCCAGCAGAAAGGATGCCCAACTGTCCATTCTCACACGACGCAATCAGATCTACCGATCCATGAACGCCCGCCTGGCTGACAAATCTAGCTCCACCGCCGAAGACTTTCTCCTCTCAGTTGCCATCGCCGCCGCCTGCGAGAAACGCCTCGGCAACGATGTCCTTGCTGAACAGCACTTATCCGCTGTCAAGCGTATCTTGCTCCTCAATGGCGGCCTGTCCTCCATCCGTCGTCTAAAATACCCCACTGGCCTCATGATCATCAATATCATTGTCGAAAACCAGCTTCGCTCCCTTTTTGATACAAAAAGTCTCCTCGATGCCCGTCTAGCAGCCCTCATCACCACCACACTCGCCCAGATCCAAACCTGGAACGCCCATCTTCGTCAACACGCCCAGGTCAAGTTGCAGCAACGAGAGCGAAATTCGTCTACCTCTTTTACAATTTCCAACGCCGCCTCATCATCCTCCTCGTCTCATCGCCGGTTCATTTCAGGGGATGCCACGAGTAGCGACTGCCTGACAGATCGTGCTCGGGCGTTCGCACCAATGACTGCTCTACATTGCTACGTCAGAGTACCAGCAGAATCGGATCCGGATTCATTCGAGCTCGACGATGCGCAATGCCGATTCTTTCTGGGTATGTTATTTACGATAAATGCTGCGTTGTATGCTTTTCGAAGCAGCGCCCGTCACACCTCGCGCTATCTACAAGCATTAACACGTGCAGTCGAAATGAGTACGCCTGCCAACTTCGTTCTACGTGCCGGCGGTTCGAAGTTGCCATCTCTTATGATGCTCATGATGATCGCCCACAACGTTGTTGACATCGAGGGCCCTGCTGGTTTCCACGAGGAATCTGACATCGAGACTGACACCGATGCGGTCTTTCGTGTCGAAGAGATCTTTGAGTTTGTGGGTCTCATTATGATCGCCGGTCTTGACTCAAGAGTCTCGGTCATTAGGGCTCTTTCTTCCTGGCTGATTTTCGAAATAACTGATTCCAAGAGTTTGTCTCACATCCCCCTCCAGGCTGTGGTCGACGACGTGCGAACTAGCTGGACGCCTAACTAAATTGGAAATCGCTTTCATTCATTATTCTTCGCCAGCCACAACCTGGCGACCAGCCATGCAACTCAATACAATCAAGTTTGTTGTCCTGTATCGAGAGGGTATACCATATCCCTAAAGTCAAAACCAGCAGCTCAAAGTTAAGCATGACCAAATTCACCCTGTACAAATTCTTCGGCCAGAAACGCCTGAAGCAAAGACCACCTCACAAGTGGAGCCGACTCACTCAAACATCCTCCTTGTGATGATACCTATCCTGTTCAATATCTCCAGCTTCTGTCTTTCCTTCATAGTCTTCTTCAGCTTCCCTGTGTCGCAAGGTGCTGTCAGTTCTGCCCATACCAGCTTGGAAACTGCCCAATCTACTTTGTCGTCGAAAAGTTTCGCGATCCACCGAGCTGTGTCTACGAACTTCCTCCTCTTCTCTGATTCGGTACTTCTCTGGACGTTTGGTCGAGATGGCATCTTTGTCCCGGAATACGAGAAGTGGCGGATCAGTTCGGTAGTAGTCATCAATGTCTTCGAGAGATCGGCCAGCCGTTTCGGGATACAGGAAATAGACAATGGGCACGAACGACGCGTTGAAGACAGTCCACACAATGTAAAACCGCCATCCGAGATTCTGAATGCCAATCGGAGTTATCTCAACAACCATCTATCAATAGCAATCGTCAGCTTCTTGTCTCTGCAATTAGTCATGGACATTGTACTGACAAAGTTGAATATCCAGTTGGTAGCAGTTCCAATTGCAGCTCCCTTGGTACGCATTGAGAGCGAGTTGATTTCAGTGGGATATACTATTTCAGTCAGTCTTGAACACAAAACAAACGTGGCTTCGATTCGACATACACCAAGGTGTTCCCTGCATACCAATGCCGAAGAAGACATAATACAGGAAGAAAAACGCCACAGATGCAGAGGCAACTTCGTGAGCGTGAGGGAAGCCTGGGAGCTCATTATATCGAATGAGAACTGTGATGATCAGGTAACAAAATGCCTGGCCGGATGCGGCAAATATCAGCATGTTGCGCCTTCCCCATTTCTCTACATTCGGAATACCAATGAGAGAAAAGAGGAGGTACGAGACACTGTTACAAGCGGCGAGAAGTCGAGCCATTTTCTCGTCCAGGCCGACGGAGGAAATGAGAACAGTGGGCAGGTAGTAAGAAGTGACATTGATCTGTGGGTTGCAAGGTCAGTATGTGTGATATGCCTCACTGAACATGATTTCTGGCCCTTACCCCAGAAAGTTGTTGGATAGCTTGAGTGCCAGCCCCGAGGATCAGTCGTCGAATGGTCTTTGTTCCACCTTTTCCTGCAGTCTTTCCTCGCAGGAGGTCCATCCATTTCACGGCATTTTCGCGCTCGTACTGAACCGTGTACACGATTTCTTTATGCTGGGCCATGACGAAAGCATCGTTTTCGGATTTGTTTTCGAGATCAGCGAGAATGGTGAATGCTTCATCTTCATAATCGTGCGCGATGAGCCATCTATCACCCCAATTTAGTCAGTCATGCAGGAAAGTGACAGTGGGACGAGATCCGTTCCATACCTAGGCGACTCTGGCAACCAAGGAACTGTTGCAAACAGAATGATGATGAAGACGAATTGGAACGCCAATGGAAATCTCCAGGCAATCGGACCCGGCAGGAACGAGAATCCATACGTGATCCAGTTGGACAACGAAAAGCCGGCGATGTTGAGAATCAATTCAATGACCACCAATTTTCCTCTCCATTTGATTGCTGAGGTTTCGGTTTGCCACACGGGCGCCGTCGAGGTGTTGATCCCATTGCCTATACCAGCGACAATACGTCCCACGATCATCTGCGGAACGCTATAAGAGGCTACTTGCAGAATAGCCCCAACAGACATGATGGTGGTACCGACAAGGACAGATCTTCTTCTCCCGAGAACCTCACCCAGCCATACAGCGGAGACCGCGCCGAAGAAACATCCGATGTCGTAAATGGCCGTGACGGTTCCTAAGAAGTGTCAAATTGTGAACACCCGCCATGACCCTTGCAAGCAGGAAGGAGATGGAGACCAACCTAGGAGACTGGTCTTGCTAGGTCCTGCCAGATTATGCACGTCGAGAAAATCCTGGGTGACGATGACACCGCCTGAGGGGGTCAGATTTGGAATGTAGTCATCAAATGAGAGTGATCACGAACCGAATACACCCTATCATCTTGGTCAACTTCGAAACATATGTCATAGCACGGGTGGATGGTTACTGACCTGATCATACCCAAATCTTCGAGAGGGAGTCTATGTCAGTAGTCTTCAACATGGAGAAGATGATTCTCCACTCACAAGGTCATATCTGTTGCGCAGGCAACCTACAACAGAGACGAGTCGTTAGTGGTTCATGTTCTCATAACGGCACATTTACTTCTGAGTGAGAACATACAGTGATCCAGAAAGTGAGCCATCCTCCTTTCAAGCCAAAGTATGGCTGCTTGGGACCTAGAAAGCCCATGTTGGCCGAGACACGCAACGATGCAGAGACCAATTCAAGGAGAGAGTCTCAGGAAACAAGAGGATATGTTGGAATGAAAAGAACTGTCAAGGAGATAGATGCAACTACTACATACTATCCATGGATGTATTCATAACTGGCAGCGTCCATTTCCAACTCGAACCGTGTGTGGATGCATCGATGATCGCTGTCGGCGTTTGAACGCAGACGTCATGCCATTGCCATTCCGTCACACATCCAACCCGTGCCAAACTCTAAGACGTTGAAGTTTCCTAGCGATCGTCATGCTCGGTAACATGAGAGAAGGAGGATGCATTCTCCGCAAGTAGATCAAGCCACAGGTACGATTGACTACATGACGAGGACTGACTAGCGTCAAGATCGACCGCCATACCCCGGACCAAGAAAGGTCGACCGGCTATCCATGGGGTGTTACGTGGATGGGAGAGGGGATAGCTTTGTTTGGCTTAGGAGGGCCAACATGGAGATTCAAGTATCTTCGACCGACCAAATATATATATATATATATATATAAATATATATATATATATATATAAATATATCATAGAGAAAATCGCCTTCTAGTTTCTCACTCCTTCCCCGTTGATTTTCCAATCTCGCTGAACATATCTATACAGAACGCACGACACCCGACGCACGACCACATCGACACACGAGAGGAAGTTGGAAGCGGCAGACCGAGAGGGAGGGGAGGCAAGGGGAGGGGAGGGGAGGGGAAGGATGTGGAACGGGTCGTCACAAGCATTATGCACTACAAGCCAAAAGGTCCAAGCCAACCAACCAGAAAACAAGTCTCTAACTTTGCCATGCTTACCTTTAAAGCTTAGGTAGACTTTTGGCAAGCGTTCGCTCGGTCAGTCGAGAGCTTAAAATTTCGTCATTGGGGGAATGTGGACCTTGGGTTTGAGGGAACTCAGATAGACATCTACATAGGTACTACTCCGCAGGTGTGCAGTATGCAGTATTAATGTTCTCTTGAATCTTGAACTTGAATCTTCAGATCTTGTATGGCGTGTAGTAAGGTACCTACCTAGGTAAGTAGTTATAGCACTTGACTTTATTACACATGCGGAACATATGTATGTATAGTATAAGGCGATCAATATACTGTAGGACATCACTATACAGACAGGCCACAGATACTTTGATACTCGTATTTATATCACAGCGCTCTTCTTTATACTTTCTCACTAACCAACTATATACTATATACTACCATGTACTGACTACCTTGGTGACTACATGGTCAGATGATCCATTGAATGCCGAGTTGACGACAACGTGGGACTTTGACCGATGGATATGCTATGTCACCCATCCATTTCCACCACAGACCCACAGGAGCCCACAAAGCGATAGGAAATAGTCCAACTCTTATCCCGATGCCGATGATGCTATGATGCTATATCTTTCCACCGAGGTCCAATGTATATATATACAAATACCATTCCATTACCTTCTAGCCACAGTCAACTATCGTCCATTTCAAGCATCACCCGTAACAGCATCAATCATCTTTCTAAACTCCCTCTGTCTCTCACACTGCTCCAGGAAAACCTTATACTTGACCTCCAACAACGGCTTAACCGACTTATTTTCCGTCGGCCGAACGAGTTTCCCCGTCTTGCTCATTCGATCCATAATATTCCATAAATCTTCTGTTTTACCAGATGCATCCGCACTAGCGGCTTTAGCACCCAGCATGGCTGCACCATGCACGACAGCGGCGTGCACATATCTAGGGATCAACACCGGCATATCACACGCAGTAGCAACCAGAGACATCAAGATCTCGTTTTGACACTGTGAGCCAGACATGAATATACTGCTGATTTTGTGGCCGGAGTCGTTCATGGCTGAGATGATCTGGTGGGTTTGTAGGGCGATGAATTCCATGGTTCCGTAGTAGTATAGGGCTAGACCGTCGAGGGATTTATCGCTTGACAAGCCGACGACTGAGCCGGACATGGTGGGGTCGGCGATGGGTGAGCGATTGCCAAAGAGATCGCCGTAGAAGAAGAAATGGCGTCCTAGGTAGCTGATGCTAGGGGCAGAGGTTCGTTCTTGCATGTCCATCAAGTGTTGGTTAAGGAAATCATAGATGTTGTCGTGGCTGGATTGGGACATAGAGAGGGCTTGGTTGTATGCTGGATGAGTCTCAAGGACATGTTTGAGAAGTTCGCCTGTTGCGGATTGTCCGCCTTCGGCCATCCAGAAGTTGGGGATGATGCTGTCGCGGTAGGGGCCCCAGACGCCGGGGACGAAGACTGGGTCGGGGGATAGAACGAGATGACAGGTTGATGTACCTGCGACGGCGGCCAGACGAGTAAATGCCTGGGATTGGTCGTTGCTTGCTGCGGAGGTGTCGAGCTCATCGGGGGTGAGGTTGACTTTGGCTCCCACGGTGCCAATCCACCCGGCGTAGGCATCGATGACACCACTACCGACGGCAATTCCAGGAGGTAGTCCGAGATCAGCTGCGGCTTTCTCACACAGATAGCCGGCCAATTCACCAGCGGAGAGATACTCTCCGTTCTGAAACCATCACCAACGAAGTCAGTCAACTGTGCTTTGAACGATAATCAAGAAGAAGAAAATAATGAAATAGGCTCACCACCCCGTTGACTCCACCCATTCGCTTAAAGTCATCCTCAGCGAGATCCTCTAGACCAATTTCTTTCAAGAAATCCTCTTGCCAGCCTTTGACACTGCCGTCGACCCCCACAGGCACGTATCCCTGTTTACAGACGACGGAGCAGAAGCTCCTCTTCTCATTTCCAGTGGCCATGTGTTCGAGAGCATCCGTCAAGTCGTAAAACTTGCAACGGTCAAAAAGTTCTTTAGGCATATTGTTCTTCAACCAAAGCACCTTAGGAATTTCCATCTCGATGCTCATGGTACCACCGACATATCGGAGAAGGTTGTGCTTGGTGTTGTTGATCTTTTTGGTTTCTTCGACGGGACGATGGTCGAGCCAAAGAATGACATTGCGGTCATTGGCTGTTGAGTCAAAGTTGGGTCCGGTGACACTGACGGGTTCATCGGTGTCGTGAGTGAAGACGGCGAGCGAGCACGTGGCGTCGAAGCCAATTCCTCGAACCGAGTTGGGATCGATGTTGTTCTGAGCGATGGCCCGGTGGACCGAGATGCAGATACAACGCCAAATGTCCGTTGTGGATTGTTCCTGTTGAATATGTTAGGACTTTGATGATACAATGTTGGTGTGTCTATCAATGGGTGGGTCAACGTACATAGTAGCCGGTCTGGGGCTGCCACAAGCCAATGTTTTCAGATGAGAGGCCAACAATGTCGCCGGCCTCGTTGATGATACAGGCACGAGCACTCCCTGTGCCGACATCGATTCCAATGTAATGATTCTGTTGTACGACAATGTCGTTTCTCACATCAAGGGAATTTTGTCTGACAGGCGTTCGCACGCCACTAAATGGAAGTTGTGCCATGATGAAAGCGGCGCAGTTAGATGGAGGAGAAACGCAAAATTAAAGAGGGAAGAGACGAGGGGGCAGGTGCAAGTAACGACGACACACGAAAGAGTAATTTCAAAAAGGAAGAAAAATCAAGCGATGAGCGACGAGGGACGAGCAATACCATTGTTGACAAAGATTTACATGCTGTACTGCATGCCATTTTTGTTCAATCCATCTGGTCTGGGCGGTCGTGGCATACGATGTCATAGTTCTGAGGACACCGAACGAGGGGCGCGAGGGGCTCTGGTCGGTCTGACCCAAAAGCGTTGAAACGCAGGGTCCGAGGGGCCTGAGAAATGGCGATTGGCTCAAAAACAAGCGATGGATATGGAGAAAGGATCCAGTTGGCGAGCCACGATGAGTTAATCATTGTGACGATCCACTGGGAGAAAAGCTCGAGAAGGTCGAGAAGCTTGAGAAGCTCTGAGAGAGAGAGGGGAATTGAGGAGAAACAACACGTCAGAGGTGGAGAGGTCGAGGGGCCTTGGCCCTTGGACTTTACGCACGACTGCCAGGGCTTTTAGTTAAAGCACTCACTGGGGACTGCCTCTATCGGCATGCGCTTAGGCCATTGGTTATGGGCGATAGGCTATGATGGAGGATGCAACGTGGGGTATGTCCCTCTCTTTGGGCAATCTTTAGATATCTCCACCCCCCGTGAGAGACATTCGCATATGGTAATAACTACTTAGGACGGGTTACGTAGTTGGGACATCCGTGGAGATTCTTCTTTGGACAATAGGTCCTTTGGGTGCTTTTCACACCCGTAGACACCTGTACTCATAGGCCCTCGGGCACTCTTGCATTATTGCATATCCCTGATAAGTACTGTGGTCCTTACTGCGCCCACCCAACAATAACAAAAACACACACAACAGCAGTACTGCTCTTCTCTCTGTTCTCTCTCTCCAGCCTCTTATATCCCAGTATCCAGGGCTGCATTCATTCATACTACACTATTTACATGCATCCGCTCTCAGGACTGCCTGGAGCTTGTTTGCCCTACACCGAAACGTCCAAACATGGAGGAGATGATCATTCAATAATCCCAAACATGACTTTCCCGCCGCCCACCAAACGCCTGCGCATCCTGGTCTGTCTTGCCTTTGCCTGGCTCTTGCTCCCGCTTTTAGGCGCCGTATACCGCATCATCTTTGCCTGTATTCCGCGCCCTCATCATGGCCTTGCTGGCTTTGTGCCAGCCTTGCCAGTTCATCCCTTGCGGAATCCGCAACTTATCTATGGCTTCGTAACATGGATTGGGATTTTCCAATAGTGGTCCCTCCTCCGTGATATATCGTACATCCACCATGCAACCATGTCGTGACCATCACTTTACTTGGCCTGCACTGCTCTCCTCAGGCTTGACAGCAGGTGATTCGGCCTTGGCCACACCTCAAGCGGCTGCTCCAGAAGGACTTTGGGCCATCTCAGCCCCTTCGTCCTTGGTCGACCGGTCGTCAACGGCACTTCCACCAAGCCCACCCTGAGCTGCCACTTGCTGTGCAAGATCTTCGCTCGGTCTCGATGTCAATGGTGATGAATCTGCCGCTCCAGACGGTGATCGCACGTTCTCACCCTCCCGCGAACCCTCTGCATCTACACCACTCAAGCCTCCCAAGAGCTGCGATTTTTCGGTGGATGGGGTCGATGCCAGATTACGTCGACTCATATAGTCTCCAAGGCTGAGCTTCTTACGTGTAGGACCCGGTGTAACTGCACCCTGGCCAAGCGACACAGGGCCATTGGACAATGGCTGGAGTGAAAGAGACGGTGGGCCTGTGGATGGGGTGGTCGGAGTAGCCGTCAGACCTCCAGCCAAAGTGGTTGACGGGCTGGAGGAGCTGGCCACGTTGAATGGTGGTACAGGTGGTAGTGAGAATGTCTGGGTTCGAGCCACCCCTGCATCTTTGTACGGCTGTACCGTATGTGCAGCTTGTGAGGGCAGAGGATATGTTGAAGTTCCCACATTCACAGGGCTGGATCCTGCACTGCTCTGTCCTGACGCCTCTGCTGTTGGAGCTGACACGTGATTGCCTAAAGGTGGTGCATCCGTCATCTCCACCTCTCGATTCCGCGTCTCAAGACCGGCTCTGGCTTCAGACTGCGCCATGGTAGGTGAATCCGGCTTCGTCGTCTGCTGTGTGTGCTTCACCCGATCTTCGAACAGTCTTTTGAGCAATCGCTGTGTAGGTGTACAGAATTTCCTTCTCTTTGCAGGGGGCACCATCACTTCAGCTTCCTCCGGGTCCGTCTGCACCGATACACTGACATAAACGGGACGAACGGGAAGATTCCCTGACTTGGAATCGGCGACGGCATGTCCATGCGCGGGCTTGCTTGTCCCTTTCGAGGGCGGAGGAGAGGCAGAAAAGGCGTCGTTCTGGCCGAGGACATTCGGCGTCGAGGGGTTCGAGTTAGGCTGCTGACCAAGCTGTTTGGAGGTATGGACATTGGGCGTATTCAGCGTCGAGCCACCACTAGTGCGCTTCTTTTTCCGTTGCTGTCCTGGAGCATTTTGCTCCTTCTTTTCTTGTTCGCGCTTTTCAAACGCCTTCTCGGCCATCTGGATTTTCCGCAGCTCCCGGCCAGTCAGTCCAGTGCCCAGAACAGGGTCCGCATCAAGAGCAGCGACATTGACAGGCGTGATGTCTCGACTCTGAGGGCCACTTCGTGAAGAGTCCGTCGTCGATCTCCGATCAAACGGTTCTTCATCCTCGTGAATCTTGGGTTCGCTACCAGCTCGGCTGTTGGTGGCGTGGCCAGTACCAAGAGGCGAATGCCCATGTTTTGCCCTAGACCTCTTCTTTTTCGTCCCTTTGTCTTTGGGCGCAGCCTCTAGAGGCTTCGCAGGGGCTCTGCCATCCACCTTGACAAGGTGGCAGGCCGGTCCAGCATCGCATGCGCAGTCTCCAAAGTTGGCCAGAACCCGGCTGGCCCAATCCACTCGACGATTATGGGCTTGTGGGTCTTGTCGGCTGGCGTCGTCCGACGGGACTTGCATGACTGTGTCGAGATACCATGTTGTCGTCAATTCGGATCCAGCAGGGATGTCTTTGGTGGCAACGAAACAGTGGTGGGCCTGATCATCGTCCGTTATGAACGTCTTTAATGTGACATTTGGCATGCATGACCGTCGTATATAGCGAAACAATGTACCAGACTTCCTGCTGTCGATGCAAAGGTCCATGTGAGGGTGGAAGAAAACGAAGGGATCGGGGTGCCTGAGTTCTTGCCATCGGTTCGAAGATGACTTTTGTTGACAATGTTCTTCAAGCACGCTGATCTGACCACGAATTTCGCCAACAACTTCGTCCTTCTTGACCGGCCTGTGAACACGAAGTAGTCGCCAGGTGGGATGCCTTCCGTCAATTTCAATGTCAGTCTTTTGAACCGTTTCAATCGTTACCTCTGGCCATTTGCTTGAGTCCAGTGGTGCACTGGGTCGAACGAATGGGCGTTCTTTGACGGGTTGTTGTTCATTCTCGTTGACGATTAGGGATGGTTTTGTGCGCCATGCAGAGAGAATGTTGGTGGCTTGAATGGTGTGTTCACTTGCGTCTGCGTCAATGTTGCCTTGATCGCGATCGTAGAGCTCGAGGAATTCGGTGGTGTACGCAGGGACAACGGGAAAGCGAAACATTTCCTGAGGGGATTTGGAAGGACTAGGGTATGACTGCACCGTTGAAGCCGCTCGTTTTCTTGAGTCGCCATTCATCGACACAATGGATCCCGATGTGCGATGATTGGTTTTTGGCTTTTTGGCGGGTGGCCCGTCTCTTGATTCATGGCGTTCGTGTGAGTGCCAGCCATTGACATGTTCTGTGATGGGGGTATCTTTATGTTTCTTTTTCTGGTTTTTCTGGGCTGGCCTTTTGGCCTTCCGGTCACCGCTATCGAGAGGAGCTTCTCGATGCCTCCTCTGGCGTTCGGTTGCCTTCTTCGCGTCGAGATCTCTGGGAAAACAATCCTGGCAGAAGTGCTCGTCTGGCACTCGTTTGCCATGGTAGTAGCACTCGATGTGTTGCCAAGTGTCGCATTTGGGACAATAGACGGTGTTACCATCGTCATCTTGATAAACACAAATGCATTTGATGGTGTATTCCTCCTCTTCTTGTGCGTTATTATCGGACAGAGAGCCGTTGGGAAGGGGCGAAGCGAGCGAGGGTGCAGCGGTGACCGGATATTGATTCTGCGCAGGATGCGTGGCGAGAACGGAGGACTCTGTCATAATCTAGACAGAGTACCTCGTCATGGACAGGATTGGGAGGATAGTAGGGTGTGGATTACTTGTAGATAGACCGTCGCATGTCGCGCATGGCGTTGGAAAGATAGCCACCAGCGCAAAGAGACCCAAGAGTGATGGCAAAGCAGAGTTTGGGTGTTGTGGCTTCTGCGAGTGCTAGAAGGAGAGATTTTCAGATCTGAAAGGATCGGGAGGAAGGTCTTTCAAGGGCTAGGGATGTATAGAGTAGGTGATGAATGGGGCGCAGAGGAGCGGATGTCGATGGAAGCTGGTGCTGAATTGGGCAAGGTCGTCCAATTTGATTGGCGTTTGATGGGGAACAGCTGGTGAGTTTGAGGTCGAGTTGTAGGTCGAGTCGTCAAAAGGTGAAAGAGAAGTCGAAAGGCGTCGAGGAAGGTGAAGAGAGGCGCAATGGGGTAAGAGTGGTAATAAAAACAAGTCGATGATAAGGTAGAAGCGAAGCGCAGTGGATGAATGTAGAGGAGATCTTATGGCTGGTAGCAATGATGAGTCTGGGTGAAAAAGGGAGAAAGGATTGTGATGGCGAGAAGATGGAGGGACAGGTAGAGAAAGACACGATGGGATGGGAGAGGGAGAGGAGGGTGGGCGACTTTGGGAGGATGGACGGGTTCGAAAATGGCCACTCTGGGGATTAACCATGACTGAACGTCTAAAGTCACTAGTTAGGGCATTGGCACTCAAGTCCAGAGGCAGAAATGGCAGAGTCCAAGGTTGTCAGAGCCTCCCGGGCCACTAGCTCCCTTATGGTTGAGTGTTAGGTGCTATGGACCATCCCAAGCAGCAGGTCTGCGAGGAGGAGCCGGGAGGTGCAGGCTCAGGTGCAGGTTCAGGCGCAGGCGCAGGTGCAGGGACAGCTTGTGTTTGGGGACTGTCTTGAGTGGCTCGAGGTTGCTTGCCTCTTGAGCAAATGATATAGAAGAGTTGATGAGTGACGTGTTGGATGCGATGCACTGCACCTACAAAGCAATTCTTGGGTTTGTAACATGTCTTCCATGGGCAGCTTGTAGGGATGGTAGATGCAGAAAATTACAGGTGCCAACAAGTTGAATCTTCAATGCCCGCACCCTCGAGTTGCAGGCTTGCCCGGCACATTTTGGATGCAATCTCTCCTTCTGACCCATCAATGGTGATATTGGTCTTGCCTACAATTGTACTATGTATCATCAACTCTTAACGTCTTTGTCCATTCAAATAGGTGCGAGAAAGACAATAGTAGGTATGTTGGAGGAGGAAGACGCGTCTCGAGATTTGAGGCACTTGAGGGGAGAACCAGCCCTCTGTAGGATGATCCTTGGGCGTTACCAAAACTCGTGTGAATGGGCGAGTAGAGAAAGGATAAGGAGCCAGCGTGGGAGTGAGAGTGGAAGCCCCAGGCAGGGCCCCAAGATGGGTTTAGCCAGCCAGCCAGCGAGAGACACAAAAGGTTTTTGGGAGGGCCAGGGCCTGGTTGAAATGCCAGTGGAAGAGCAGGAAATCTGGGACTGCAGGATCCATACGGAGTAGGCAACCGCTCGAAAACGGGCTGATGTGTATGTGAGTGGTCAGGGTGTGTGTCCAAGGGCACGTCGGGTCTACGCTAGCGACGCCTGTTGATTTGGCAGTTGAATTGTAACTGGTCTAGGCTCACCAGGCATGGGCGCTCGGGAGGGTGTCTCTGACTCCTCTGCTGTGGCTTTGCCTGATTTTCCCACCCCAATGCCAATCTTTGCCCCCATCGCTCGTCTTTCATTCGCCAATCCTCTAACCGATTTTAAAGTTCGATTTTTGGGTCACTGGCAAACAGACCTTGCTCTTGCACCCACTGCTGCACCCTCCAACTCTCAGACACCCTACTTCTCAATTTCAGCCTTGAGGGCATTTCCATGCTTCCATCCAACCCAACCCTCACCCCCGTGTCGGCCATCTCACACTGCCACCCAGCATGTGCGTGGGTCTTAACTCGTGCTGGCGCACGGGCTAGTGTCACATAGGTACCTAACTTGCGGCAATGTTCGATTGATTCCAAAGCTTGGATGCTGTCCTCACAGGCTCACTGCTTTCTCCTCACGCATCCTTGCCCTCCCTATTTAGGGCGTCCCTAGGCGTCCTATCCCGTGGCTGGTGGGGATGTCGATAGCACCCACTTGGTGCCAACCATTCGTGAACAAGACCATCTTGCATTTTGGCGTTGAAGCAACAAGAATCCAGCTCAAGTAACAGCTGCATTGCCCTCGATTTCAATTTTCCCCTCCCCAAAACTCGACTTCCCACTTACTTCTTCTTTTCACACACGCGCCCTCTCTGTGGCATATGTCGTTGCAACACTCCATAACACACAAACACACACACCCAAGAATACGGAGATAGCTTCCTCTTCTTTCATTCTCCCCGTATTCTCGGCTTTGATGCAGTCATCCTCTGTTTTCGCCAAGATGACCTCTCTTTTTCCCTCGTGTCCCAACTCGTTGCACAACAGCACTGCACAGCGAGGACCGGCCAGACTGCAATTATGACACTGTTTGTTACAGTACTTACTTACCTTCCTTCTTACTAGGTGGGGTTCTTGTTCAGGTCAAGCTCGACAAGAGACATTATTGCGCCAAACATCCATCACCTCCCATTCGCCCTCGCCAGTTTCTACACCGTCAGCAATTTATTGATGACTTCGTTGACTGGCTACCTAGGTCCTTTCCTGACACAGCTATCCTCCAGACCCTCGATCACTGCTGCCCCTCAGGGCACCTCCTCTGGCTGACCGCCGACCCTCGCGTCCGGTTATCCACCTCCTTCCTCCATTTTACTTATCATTACTACGCACGAGACAGACCATCGCACTGCATGTTGCATGATCAGACTGTTGCCAAACATACCACTCCTTGTCGCTTACCAACTCGACTTGGTTGATCCTTGTATATCACCGATCACTACCTTGATTCCTACCTACCCTGTCTTACCTCCATCGCTGGCGCAGCCTCCCAACCCCTCCCTCCTATCATGGTCATCCGAATACTTCCTTGCGAACTCCTTTTATGATCGTTATTTCCATTTTTGTTCCAAAACCATCGTCTTTTCGAATAGAATCATGGCTTCTCGTCGTCGATCCCCCTCTTTTGGCCCTTTCGTTCCATACCAGACCCTTCCTCGAAACGCAACTAGGTACCATAGTCAAGTTTGAGATTAGGAAAGAGGAGTAAAAAGTGCATCAGTCGTCTTATCCCAAGCTCATCTACCGTTCCCATCCTGGGTTGAAGTCTCGCAGCTCGATGTAATTTTCAGACCAGAATAGATTCTATGGGACTCTTTCTGTAATCAGAAAATTGCGACAAGTGTTGACTTTAAGTACTATTTGCAACGATTTCTTTGCTATACCTACTACAATCAGCTCTGAAGACGGCCCAAGCGAACCCAACTCTCCAAAGCTCCCAGCTCTCAAATCAATATCATGTTGTGACATGGGCAATAAGTAACTCATCAGTGGGTTTCCAAGCCGGGAACACATCTTCTGCCCGAACCACACCGACTGCTATCCTGTACTCTTCAGTTTCTTCGGCTTTTTTGACACCCTAGACCGACGGCCACCCCTGGGGTTATTTGTGTAGTTTAAATTTAACATTTGATCTTTCAACACAACTGCTCTCAAAGATCTCATTTCCAGCCGTTGATCTTCATGGTTCCGTTCTCGACAAGATTCTTGTGCATATCGAAAGTGTTGAACAACAGGTGAGGTTCGTGGCCCATGCCCTTCCTCAGGCATTCGAATTCGGCCTTGTCAAAGTAGTCTTGCAGGATGGGTCTGTATTCGGGGTGGGCACACTGCTTAATGATTTCGCGAGCGCGTTCTCGTGGGGACATTCCTCGAACATCGGCGAGACCCTGTCAGGAAAAAACAATTGATGATTAGCACAATCTGTACTTGTGTCACGTCACGGCCGGCGAGACACTTACCACTTCCGTCACCACCACATCCAAATCATGCTCGGTCTGGTCAACGTGAGTGCACATGGGGACGATGCATGATACACCGGTAGGATCGGTCTTGGAAGGTCGGGTGCTGGGTGTGTGCATAATGGAGTATTTGGCGGATCGTAGGAAATCGGCGGATCCACCTAGACCGTTCAACATTCTCGAGCCAAGCACGCAGGTTGAATTAGCGTGGGCGTAGATATCGACCTCGACGGGCGTGTTCATGCCAATGACTCCCAGGCGACGGATAATCTCAGGTGAGTTGGAAACCTGTTGTGAGCGGAGCAGGAGTTTGTGGTGGTAGTTCTCCCACTGGACAAAAAGATTGTCAGTTTCAGAGAATCTATGATTTGAGTCTGAGGATGGAGATACAACTTACGCCATCATAGAATCGCTTGAATCCACCGGGAGAGAATCGAATCGAGGTGGCGGTCGCAAAGTCGAGGTTTCCACTGTCAAAGAGATCGAGGAACGAGTCCTGCAACACCTCGGTCCACACCTTGAGGTTCTTGAAGTTTGCCTCGTTCTGAAGTGATTAGTCAGTATTGTCCGGGTTATTAATGAGTGATGGGTGAACGCAGGAAGTGTCTTACCGCAAGTCCTCCAATAACGGCATTTGCGATGTTACCAATACCAGATTGCAAGGGGAGAAGGTTAGGAGGGAGTCTTCCGTGCTTGACCTCATGCTCCAAGAACTCAATCAAGTTGCCAGCGATTGCTCTCGAAGAGTCATCCTCGGGAGCATTCTCGCTGGTTTGATCAGGATAGTCGGACTCGACCACAGCAATGACCTTTTCAGGATCGACGGGGATATGGGGAGTACCGATGCGGTCTTCAGGGGCCATGATGAGGTATGGCTTTCGTCGCGGAGGCAGGTCGGTCATGGTGATGTCGTGCAAGCCTTCAAAGCTGGGAGCTGCCGTGTTGACTTCGATGATGATCTTGTCAGCCATCTGGATGATCTCAGGACTGGCGCCGACGGAAGCGCCCGGAATGATGCCACCGTCTTCAGTGATAGCACTAGCCTCGACAATGGCCACATCTAGCCTGTTGTTGCTCTTGTTCTTTGTGTAGAAGCCATACATGAGATCAACAGGGAACATGCTGAGATGTTTATCGAAGAACTGGATGTTTCCATTATTGATTCCCTTGGCAATCTCCTTGCCGACCTGATGGGGAGCTCGTCGCTCGATCATGTTGAGGCGAGCCCATCGATTTTCGGTCTCTGCACCTGATGAGGCGCCGACAAAGAGATTGTACTTCAACTTGCCTTGCAAGTTGTTCTTCTCAACATGGTCTGCCAAAGCAGTCGGCACCTTCCTGAATCATGGTCAGCGAGCTGCGCCGGTCGCAGGAGCAGCTTCAACAAGCTACGTACTTAGGATATCCCACACCTGTGAAGCCTGACCAACCGATGTATGAACCATGAGGGAAATGTTCGATGAGGTCTTCAGCCTTGGCTAGCTTTGTGAGATAGCTAGGCCGTCGACAACGAGCCTTCAGTAACGCCGACGCCGCCATTGCTTTGAGATTGACACGCTTCCAGGTTAAAAAGAGAGGTGCGAGGACAGCGTCGACGGGAGCAACAGACTGACACGACTGAGCAAATGTTCGACAAAGGTACAAGTTTGGAAATGTTTTGGGTGTCGAAGCATGCAGGACCCCGGATCAAGACCGAGGGCAGTTGTGATGGTCGGAGAGAAACCCAAACCCCTGTCGTCTGGCGTCACAGGGCAGTCAGAAGTCTTCAATCAGAGGACAGTCAGTGAGGGTTGGGCGGGGCATAACGGGGCCTGTACACGGGAGTATATTCAGCGGGGACGGAGGGCAGCCCCTTAGGGTTGGTAATTGGTTAGGTGCAGGTGGAAGTCCACAGGGAAGCGAAGGCCCTAGGAGTCTGGTTTCGCGGGCATGACCATGGGGGAGTGCTTGGGCCAGTTAGGTGGTGGGAGGGGAAGGGTTTGGCGATGAGATGACCGGCAATGGGCGGACACGCGGGGCACCAAGGCTTCGCTTCAGCCTGATAGGCACTAGTTGGTTGGTCCAAGGGTATTTGGGGGGCAACTAGGGCTTGTTTCTGAGATCTGGGCGCAGGTCATCCATAGCCTTAGGCCCAATTGCGCTGACACAGTGGCATGATATTGGTATTTTAGCGATCGACGCGTCCTATGGGGCTACTGCCATGCCGAACCATGTCCGATAATTCTAGAATGTGTATCCACGTTGTCGCTCGACATTATGACCATTTAGGTACTTAGGTAGTATTCAACGGCTTTCCTTACTGGTTCCAAGGCAATCTCCCTCGCACGAACGGATGTAACTTTACGCACTTTATCAAAAGATGAAGAAAATCTCTCATGGCGCCAATGTTGGCCATTGACATGTCCACCAACTCATCTTTCGAACCCGTCCACGGCATACGACCTGTCCTGAAACTGCCGTTCCTTACTTGCAAAACAGGGACTGCGGCAAGTGTTCAATTGGAACCTCTTCCCAAAAATCATCCGGGTCTTGGGTCTCAACAGGACCTAGGGCAGCTCGATCAAACACCTTTTCGCGCACGTTGATGCCTCCACTCACGATGCGGATCAACTTGACTTGATCTTGAGTAGTCGAGTCCCATGGTTTTCCAATCGTGACAAAATACGCACAAATACCTTCATGAGAAAGCGCTACGACATTGGACGGTAAGTCCTTCTCAGGACTCGAGCCCGCAAATATCTGGACCGCTTTCTGCAAGCGACGGGCATCTGGGGCGTTCCATTCATTGCCATATACAAGCTTGAAATGCTCTGTCCAGTGCAGACCTCGCGCTTCCATTCGTTTCTGGACTTGGCCGTTGTAGAAGCCCTGGATTCCCGCTCTTGAAGGGACAATCGAGGGTGACACGGTCATTCTGGAGAGCACTAACCCCAGAGAGATGATGGTTTCCACAATGACTGCAAGGCAGTACCCGTGGGAGGGCGGTAATCCTTCCTTTTCCTTTTCAACTTCATCTTTAGCGGTGCAAATGCCACAGTGGCAGGTCCTTCTCAGTTTTGACAGGTACTCCGTATAAGCGATTGCGGCATCCTCGTGGGTCAACTTCAAGGCTCGCTCCATCCGACCTTGGAAGCGTCGTAGCTCGGGGAGCCAGTTTGTGATGGTCTGGATGAGTCCTGCGCCATAGGAAGCGGTGTTGCTCTGGTTTTTGGTGGAGACCAATGCATGCTCCTCGTGTCCCTTGCCCAACGCCAGTCCTTCAAACAACTTGGCTGCACCGCCAATCATACCTCCAAACGCCTTAGATTCGTCGTGGTCGAGATAGTGGAAGCTCTTGCCAAACACCCGGGGAAGCAACGATTGCCAGGCGACTCTACCACTAAAAGGTGTGATGTAGACCTGGGATGAGTACGTGTTTTCGGAGATATTGAGGCCTGCCAGATTGACGTGAGTATCATACCAGGGTTGGAAGGAAACTTCAATGCCAGGCTTTTCGACAAATACGAGTGTGACCTGGGGTTTTTGGCCTTTGTGGGTGGCATGGACCAATGTTGCATCTTTGCCATAAACCTCGACTCGCAGGTCACAATGCCACTCCGCCAGAGCGCCGAACCATGAGATAATCCCGCTGCCAGTGAAGGTGACGGTCTTCTCGTGTCCCCCACTGACCTGCATCAGTGCTTGAAGTGCCTGGGCTACGGCCTTGGGACTGACGATTGATTCAAGATTCTTGACGGCCCGGATGCTGAAGGGATCGAGGCGGAGGTAATCTTCGACCAACTGACCAAAATCAGTGGTGGCTAAAATGCCATTGCAAGAATGAAGAGTAGACTTCCATTGGGCATAGTGAGGAGTGGTATCTTCGGGACCAGCCATGGAAGCGGCAAGTTCATGGAGGATTTTGGTGCCATAGACTTCGTGGAAACTCTCCCCAATGGCTGTCGCCACGGCGAGATGGTCGTAGGATTCAGCGTGGATGACCTTGTCCTGAACAGCATGGTTGAAGCCCCAGCCAAAGGTCAGCTTCTGATCATCGGTTGTGAAGATGGGTAGATTAGCAAAAGCATTGTTCATGTGCCTCTGGCCCTTGACTGAGAGGTTGAGCTTGCGAAAGATCAAGTAGGCAACATATCGTGTATAGGGATCGACTTGTGCTCCAGACAATCGGAGCAACGAGCTCTTCCCAATGGATACTTCCTTGGTGGTCGACTCGTCCACAAAGGGCATGACTGCGAATGGCTTGAGCTGAATCACAGACTTGAGACTTGATAAGGATAGTGGAGTGACTAATCATGCGGGGTGATTGTATCCAGATCTAGTGAGAAAGGCGCGGAATGAGGGCATGGTCAAGAAAGGTCGTGACGGTAAGATGAATTGACTCTGTTGTAGGACACTGCGGTGCTTAGGTTCACCATAACTTTTGTCTAGTCGAGTTGAATTGATAGGAACGGTTGTCGAGGGTGGACGAGACTGAGTCAGCAGCATTGATGTGGAGCTCGTCATGTCAATGTCTAGGTAAAACTCTAGGTGACGCATCCCTATACATAGGCGTTGGACAGGCCCGTTCAGCCCATACTGCGGGGTCCAAGGCCCCAAAAGTCCTTACTCAGCATGCCTACGAACGCCTGGATCCTCCTTTCTGAGCACCTGGACATCAAAAGACCCAATGAATTGTTGCCAAGTATGACGTCCGCCTTCCTTGGTTTCCTCGTGACCTCGTGATCTCGTGATCTCTTCGCACGTGGCCATCGACGTCTGGGATATTCTCATCGCAGTCATCATCATCAGCGCACACAAGACACACCACCCTCGCATCTCCCTTCCAGAATGAGTCCTCGAGATGATTCACGACTGGGCCATTCTCAAGGGCAAGCATAAGGATAAGGTCATCCTTCAACGCCACCCCCTTCACTTCCCCAGTCCTCCGATCCAATTCAGGCCATTCGCCCTCTCTGCTGACACCACACAGATGCAACTGGTCAGTATCACCTCTACGGCGATCCTCCTTCTGGCATCTTCGAAGATGAATACATCTCCTAGAATGTGTGAATCTCTCCATTGTTGCCAGACAGCCAAAACCACTCCTTCGGCTGTCACCAGCTTCAGACTCCCCTTGTGTATTTTTTCTTTCCCTGCCATCGACTCGACGGTCTTGGTGCTACCCTTCCAGGCGAATTCGGTGCCTTTGTGGCCTGCCAGGCCCCGCAGATGGTAAGTCCGTGTGAGTCCTTTTCTGACCACCTCCCATTTCTGCCGCTCTCCCTGAGCCGAGACTTCGAACTCGCTCGACATGCCCACCAGACCTTGCCACCCTCGAGGAAAGAACCGAGCCACCAGTTGCGACTGATTAAAGTCGTGCGCCGTGTACAGCTCAAACGGTGGCGGGTTGACAGCCAGCACATCCACCCAATCCATGTCATTAGTCACAAATGCTGGTCCCTGGTCCATTTTGTCCACTGGGTCCAGTGCTCTCAGCAACAGCTTCTGACTCTGAGGTATGACCAGGCCTAGTGGGTTGGATTTCTCTACCCGAAATGCCGCAGTCGGTCTCGTTGTTGAACTCGATTGATCCTCACCACTATCTCGGTGTAAAGCTTCCTTGTCCAGATTGTTGGTGGGTATCGCCAGCTCCTTCTCTAAACTGCTGGGCACTGCTTGCTTTTCCGTGTCTAGCGAAAGATCCCTCACTTGTTTGCTCGAATCTGCTGTTCGGTCGTAGAATTGTTTATCAAAGTCATTCTTCATTACTACCACTTCCTTGTCAGTATCGGTAGGCGACACCGATTCCTTCTCGATGTCGGCCTGTGTGAATATAGGTTTAGAAGGGTCATTGGATACGTCCACTCCCGAATCAGAGCTAACGGTTGTGCTGGCCATTTTCCACGACTCTGATCTGCTCTGGCAATAGCGATAGCATGCAAGCCAGGGTTCCCTGGGTTCTTGCGTTTCGAAGTGGTTTACTCCCAATATGGAGATACTTATCTAAAAGCACGTAACATCTGATATCGATACCTATTGCATTGAAATTTCACAGGTTCAACTTCAGACAGGAGTTTCTGTCGGTGTAACAGAATGGCCCCAAAGCCCCTCTCGGGCCAATCCAACGACTTCTATGCTTTGCTCTAACAAGTCCCACCTCGTGCGTCATAACAGGCATCACAAAGACACCCTTTCACCCTGTACGAGAAGGGCGATCGGCAGCTTGGGTGCTTGGCTCTTCAACCACTGGCCCCCAACCCGCCGATCAAGCTACTTTGTAGATATGCCTAACACAGACTTGGCTCAGTCAAGTGCTTGTTCTACTTATAGGCGCCTAGAAACAACACTAAAAAGCATACCTGGATGCCAGCTGAGGGATGGTCAATGGGGCCAATATAAGCATATGTATCGTGGAGACAGTTCATAGCCACAGACTTCACGAGTCGTCTGTTATATCTCTTGCAAGTGGCCCGGACGTATAGCATGTGATTGCCGGCATGGGTATGTATTCTTTGTTGAACCAGTCCTCGATCTTCTCTCGGTCCATCAGGCGAAAATTCTAGACAAATCCTCGCCATCCCAGACCCATGGTGAAACAGACTCAACCAGGATGGTTGACCTATCATTAACACGGTCACTGGTTGTTAACAAGGATAAAACGCATTGAAAACCACCCCTCAATGTCCACCGCACATTGGGTTTCGTTCCAAACCCAGCCTCCACTGCTCTTCGACAGTTATGGCAGGTCACAAGTCAGTAACACGACAACTGCCAAAATCTCAGGGCAGGTCATTGCAAGACAAGCAGCATTGATAGGGCTGCGAAGGCTCTATCGCGCTGCGCCCAAGCCACAAAAGGGCCAGAATACGTAGCCTTACGCATTGATCAGCCTCCCCGTATATCCTTGCACCCATGCCATCGAACAAGGCAGGGCGTATCGAGCCCATCAGGGGCAGCAATCTATATAAATCAAAAGACTATGGTCGGATGAGTAGATGGACAATCCTGAGAATAGTCCTGATATCCTGCGGGTGACAGTCACTGGCTGTGGGTGCAACATTCTCGACAGCATGATATCAAATACGGCGCCGACAAGAACGATCCATCCAGGACCAAGACCAGGACTAAACTCCCCTGTCCACAGGATCCAGAGTGCAACAGCACATGCATCTCTGACCAGACCCCCAGCACCGCCAGAAAAGAGCCAAGAGCAACCCACCGTCCATGTTGCCAGAGTCTCTCCACCAGTCGGCCAGTTCGTCATACAGACTCTTTTACAAATTGCAGGATTCGGAGTTGCCATTGCGTTTGGCGTCTACGCCGTCCAGTCTGTCGCAGTTGGCAACACTGCCAATGAATATGGCGACAAGTCTGTGCGGCAGGCCGTCGTATCTAATCAGCTGGCCATGATGGCAATATGCTTGGCCATGAACAACCAGGTAAGACAGAGCTCTGTCGCAGGAATCTGAATTCCATTCTTCATTTCTTTAACCATGCTGATACCTCCTTCAGACAGCCGCAGTATCGTCCATATGCGACCGCATCATTCAAGGCGCAGATTCCGTCCTTCCTACCGTCGCCGAGGGTATGTTCACCAGCCTCCCACCTGCTCGCAGCACCGCGACTGCCAGTTATAGTGATAGTCGCACAGCCATGCCCACTGCAACCGCGTCTAACTCAGGCCAAGACTCGATCAGTTCATCCCCACCGAGCCCATCCTCACGGAGCCCATCCATAACCATCATTGTTGCTGGTGTCGTTGGAGGTTTTCTAACCTTGACCGTGGTCCTGTCAACCAGCGCTTGTCTATTTCGGAGAGCTCATAAGCGTGCCACTGTCGAAGGGCCGGAGCGTGTTGCTTTGGGCAATAAATTTGGGACTGATAAACCTTACCAAGCAGCAGGGGCTTCTCGCGGAAACCATGGCATCTCCGGTGCGGCCGCGCTTTGGGGTCAGAGGTTCAGAGATACCTTTATTGACTCCCGTGTCAGCAGTGGAATATAGTCTTGGACAACTGAGCCTTGAGTCATGTCAAGCCGTGATAGTTCCTAGTTCCGTAGGGAGGGAGGTTTCGGCATGAGGCTGTACATACATGTTTGATGAATCCGCAAGGCTGAGAACCTGGGTGGAGTTATGGAGTCGACTAGGTCACGTGTAATTCCTACGGCCAAAGCGCCCATCACTTTACCATAGCAGCGCGTTTCCATTTCTTATAGCAGCGGCATTTAATCTCCAAAAAGTTTCTTGGCTTGGCAAATCACTGCGACTCTCGTCCATCTCGAGTTTGGATGAGGCTCGTTACAAACAGAACTGGCATCACTTCATCGACGCTTCCTACTCTCCTCACCTGCGCATCCGCGCCTTGTCATCCCTTCCATACCCTCCAACATGTATCAATATCAGCCACCGGGCCAATATGGTGCGCCAGGAGACTATGGTGGTTTCCCCGGAGCACCGCCAGGAATGGCGCCTCCTCCTGGTATGGCACCCCCAGGAATGGGAGCCCCTCCAGGAATCCAACAGCAAGATGCTCACCAACCTGGTAGACCTGGCGCCTTTCCTTCGAATTTCCAACCCCCGGCCAACATGCCCAACATCAACTTCTCCGCCCCCGTGATTCGACTAGGAACCTCAGGTCCTGCAAAGAATGACAATGTCGGCGGACGAGATGACAGAGACCGCGGCGGACGCAGAGCCGGCTTGGGTGCGGGCGCAGGAGCAGATTTCCGAGACCGCGACCGAGATCGAGACCGCATTGCTCCCGTGCAGCAACCCACGAGGGAAGAAATCATCAGAACCATATTCGTTGGAGGCATCACCGAGGGTGCAGGTGGAGACGAGGGAATTGAACGAATCTTGCGCTCTGCCGGCAATCTACGAAGATGGGTTCGCGCTACTGACGCTGTCGACAAGCCCTGCAAATTTGGCTTCGCAGAGTACGAGGACCCCGAAAGTCTTGCTACGGCGATCGAGGTGCTCCGCGATGTCGACATCCCCCTCAAACGACAAGCTCCCTCGGAGTTGAATCCTGAAGAAAATGACACGGTGGAAAAGTCTAAACTGATAGTACGTCTCTCCATGGCGACAACCTATGTTGCACAGATGCTAACCTCGATAGATTGTGGCCGACGAAAACTCTCACGCTTATATTGCACAATGGGAAGAATCTCAAGGTGGCAGCGACGCCGAAGCAGCACAGATGAGATTAGACCATGCTCGTGCCGCGTTAGCCGCCGTTCTCAAGGATCTAACCCACCCAAACGCCCCGATTCAAAAAGACGATCTGTCAAACATCGACCGAGAAGGAGACTTCAAGATGGGTGAAGGCGTTAATGGCGAAGGCACAAACGGCGACATTGTCACCATCCCCATCAATGTTGATGACGAATTGTCCGATATTCCCGCCGAGATGCGCGAAACGGTGGCCAAGGAAATCGCCGCGTTCAGAGACCGTAGTAACCGTCGTGATCTCGAGCGATTAAAGCGTGAGGAGGAACTCGAACAACAAGAACGGAATCGCATGAATGGTGAGCGACTCAACCGACTTGCTTCCCCACCATTAGCCGCTCCTTCAGGCCCTGCTGGCGGTTCCAACGGAATCCCGGTTGGACCTCGCGGTGCTCCTTCAGGTCCCAAGGGCTTTGGTGCTCAGATTCCACGTGATTACCAAAAAGGAGTTACATTTGTCAATGGAACGGCCATTTCAGGATCGTCCGCATTTGAGGACGAAGATACCGATGCCAGTGACGAGGAATTGGAGAGACGGAGAAGAGAGAAAAAGGAGGCCGAACAAGAGAAGCTTTTCCTCGACCAAGAACGACGATGGCTTAACCGTGAAAGAACCAGAACGGCAGCAGTGGAGCGTGAGAAGACGCGAGACAAGGACGATCAGGGTCGAGTTCAAGAACAGAAAGACAGAATGGCTCAACGATTAAAAGATTGGAACGATGACGTCGAATCTTCGCGCAAGGTTGAGGAATACTACAGTGATCGAAGTCTATGGATTCGAAATCGGGCTTCGTTCCGGCAAAGCGAGTCCCAAGCGGACGATGCCGATCGAGCGGCGGAACAGCGAGAACGGACTCGAGAAAACCAAAACCGCGAACGTGCCGGTGCGATGGCGGATGACTTCCTCAATCGACATGAAGAAGACATGCTGCGACAGGAGGACAGGATGGATCGATCTTTATCGACGGGCGTTCGTCGTGAGCCTGCTCGGTTTAAACTGTCATTGGGCGCGGCAGCTGCGTCTGCGGCCGACCGATCCGCATCTCATGCCACACGACGTACTGTGGTTGCTGACGTGGAAGGTCTGTTGGAAGATGAGGAAGACGCCGAATCACAAAATGCTAAACGCACGTTGATTCCCATTCAATTTGACAAGAACGACACGGCAGACATGTCAGAGGAAGAACGGGCGGCAGCGGCAAGACAACTGGCAAGTGACATTCCCAACGACAAGGATGGGTTATGGGCATGGGACGTCAAATGGGAGTTTGTCGATGAAAGCGTGGTGGAGGAGAAACTGAAGCCATTCGTCGAAAAGAAGATTGTCGAGTATCTGGGTGTGCAAGAACAGATGCTCGTTGATGTGGTGATTGGAGCTGTTCGAAGCAGAGGCAAACCAGATGTCTTGGTCGGTGAATTGGAAGGGGTGAGTTGATGCCATTTGTCTTTGCGATTGTTGGAACAATAATGCTGACTGTCATTTTATAGGCCCTGGAAGATGAAGCTGAAGTTCTGGTCAAGAAACTTTGGCGAATGCTGATTTTCTTCTCAGAATCAGAGAAGAGAGGTCTATCGACATAAAAGTTTGTCTGTGTGGCCATGATCACCAATGGTCACATACTTCTGATGGCCTTACTTTGGCCAACGAGTTCAACTCAATGTCACCGCCAATGTCACCCGAAACCTGGATTGCTAAAAGTCATGCATCCCTCAGACTCCTTGACTATTTTCGAGCATATGTGAAGGCAGGGGACTGCCATCATAAGGCTATCATCAAGACTCTCCACGTGGTACACTAAAGCCAATGGCAGCCACGAGTGAGTATCGATTAGACGATCGGTATTCACTCATCGTGCTTGGATCAGACATCAAAGACCAAGACAAGGGAAGCTTTTTGATATGAAGGCACAAACACGATGTAGTGTCGTTAGGTCAGCTTTGGCCATGCAGCTCCATCGATCCATGTATCTATGTATATCTATATGCACAAGATGCACACAAAGAAATTATGCGACATTGGCCTGCAACTTTGTTGAGAGGACCAATTTCGTGATACATTTCCCTTTTCACCTGTGTCTCTTTCTCTATTTATGCATTTTGAATTGTTGTCCTGTGTGTATGCTGGATTCAATCACGGCACCAGCCTTTTCCCAGCCAGCAGCCGGTCATGAACTTCTTTTCTGCTTCATTCATCCATTCATCCCTCGATCAACTCTCGCAATTCTCTCTCAACCTCCTTCAATCCTTTCCAATCTTTTCAATCAATCCTCCCCCCACCCACCCAACTCCCTCACCACATCTCCCACATTCGGCCACCCCTGCAAGCCATCCTTTCCACCATCAAGTCTACTTCTCTGCACCATTTCCGGCCCCACAAACTCCACCACCTGCATCACCGCCACCTTGACTGCTCTCAACACATCCTTGACCCTCCGCACCGTGGGATCAGCATCATTCGATCCCCTGGCTCCCAATACACGACCCAAACCCCGAACATGCCAAAGACTCGGCCCCCGATGACCCTGACATTGAATCGAGGTATAAACGACCAATTCCGTCTCCAGGGCCGTCAAGTGTCGGAAATCGGATAGATATAACCCATAGACGATGCTCAATTCATGTGCGCCCATTTCGCCGCGATAGTCGCCGAAAGTATTGAATATTCCACGCCATAATGTTCCATAGATGGATGTGATGGTGGAGATTCCTCGGGCTTGTAGTTCGGTGAGGGATTGGGTTGTTCTAAGAATGGGAAATCATTATAAAGGCTGAAGGGGGAGGATGAAATGGAAATGGAAAGGGAGCTTACAAATTCTCAGGCTTCAACTCCGGACGACTTTCGTCTTCCTGGGGAGTCTGGCCCTTCTCTGCCATCTGGCGTTTCGCCAATGGGATCAATGCGCCCAGTGTCTGAGGCGCACCGATCAATGTGAGTTGTTTGAGGAGGACATCGAGCAGTCGAGTGGCGAGTCGGGATTGGGTTTCTGGTGTGGAGAATGAAGGGTCGTGTTTGGTTAGATACGTCCAGAAATCAGCGAGGGTTTGTGGCTCGGGTGAGATGATGAGGACGGTGGCCTGGATTGATTAGATTGGATTGGATGAGTAAAGGGGCTTTGGGAGAGAGGGAGGGAGAGACTTACAATGATCAAATACCATGCTTCAGATCCTGTTTCCTCGAGGAGAGTGCCCTTGACATCTTGACAGAGCTGATCCCATTGCTCCTTGGTGATTGAGGATGAATCTTCTTGAGTGCCGTTGGTAGTCATGATGAAGGAACGTCCAAGGGGTCCGGAGGATGTATAATGAGTAAACCTAAACTCCGGGATTTGATATGTGGGTGGTCACGGTTGTGCTATGACTGAACCGAGGTGGAGGGTAGTTGAAGATTGAACAAATGAAACAAATATAAAAATGTATATCTTTCTCCAAAGCCAAGTAAAAACCACAGATGACGTGCGCGACCGAAAATTAAAAGAGAAAGAAGATAAAGATCAGATCAGATCTGTTCCTAACAACCAAGGTCTTTCCTCTAGTCTTTGAATCAGATGTAAAGAAAGGTAAGTAATGGACTAACCTACTTAGACTGTTGCATCGAAGTGGGAAAAGGAGTGGAACAAGAACCTCACTTCTCCTCACCTCACCATGTTATGTATGCATGTAGAATACTGCACCAATGTACCTTAGGTACCACTGGTACTTGGCGGGGTCGCAAGTTTGTGTCTCCTCTTGCTGGTCTGTCGGAGAAAAGCAAATGCCCCCGGTGCCCAGTGCGGGGGAGGGTCGTGCTGGGCGTGGCAGGTTATGCCTAGTACCATGCTTAAGAAATAAGTAACTGGGTGGTATAAAATGAATCGGTTATCATTACTGAATGATCTGACCTGCTGGGTCTGTTCTGCTATGCGTAGGTAGGGTATGTTGACAATGAATCGAGAGGGAGGGGGCGGGAACTCTTGAATCTGCATTATCGTCATCAACGGAGCCCCACGGCTCGTCTCGTTCTGTTGAAGGAGAGAAAAGAGAAAGAGAAAGAGACACAGGACAAGAGATCGGACAGGAATGCTCCAGGCGAATATTGGTGTGCAATACAGTGTGCGCCGTGGATCACCCAACGAAGTCGTATCAAGAGCATCTTACTCTTACGTGAGGACTGGCATCTGTCTGATGCGTTGGACCGGACCAGAGATACGTTTTTGTATCTTAACTAAATCTGGAAGGACATGCACCACGGGTTTAGCGATTGGTCAGTTACAAGCGAATATTTGGTCGGTGGTGGCACTTGCAATGGCGATGGGATCAAGTGTCTTTGGAATGTAACGGCGCTTTGTAGAGTGTATACATAAAGTGGGAATCAAATTGGTATGAATGGGAGAGAATGATCTCGTCCAATGTGGCCATACGCACGGAAATGCGGATGTTCTTGGTGGGACCGTCACGCCTCATGGACATGGGGTCGTTTCCAATTCTTCCACGACCCGTGAGCAGACATGATGGTCATCATGTCAACAATGGGAATGTATTGACGCGGACTTGTTCCCACATTGTCCTGCAATCAAGTTGAGGGTAAAGGACCCGGGTTCAAGCTGACGCCTGGGGATCTCCCGTGAACTGTAACATTCGGGCTTACCATGTCACCCCGTCCTAGTTCGTGGCGTATGCTCCTCGGTCCAGAGGACCACTAGGGAACTTCTGTCTGACGAGGGTAGTCTTGCAGAGATGATCATCTCATAGAGCAAAACTCTCCCAGGATCGAATCAAGTTGTCCCTTGGTGAGTAGACCTCACCCGAACAAACGACCCAGTACCCCCGAGCCAGATCCACCTACACCTCCTGACCCTCCATCAACAGCAAATGGATCGCCTTTACTCATGACCTCATCGACCCATTGTTCCATACGGGCACGATCCGTCAACAACTTTGTATCAACGAGTCTATCTGTGACTCGTTGAGCTCTTCTCCCACCAAAGCCAATCAGGGTAGGCAGACTGGTGACACCGAACTCGATCCCCAAATCCATCATCCTTCCATTACTGGTGTCTGGACTATCGAGCTCGAGCTCTGCTAGGGCCAAGCTGGAAAATTTATCATTGGGAGATGGGGCGCGGGACTTGACTAGGTCGGTCAATAGAGGAGTAATGACGCGACAAGGAGCGCATGACGATGTGGTAAATAGGGTGAGCAACAGGGCGTTATTGGCCGAGTGAAGCTGGAGCGAGTCGTGGAATTGAGGCGGGGTTCGAAAAGGATTGAGGATTCGGTTCGATGGACTTTGAGGAGCAGAAGTTGTTGAGAAGGGGGTTCTGGCTGCTTGACGAGGAGTTGCGTGTGGACAGTAGCTTGTTGCTATTCGACTGGTCTGGACATCGCGCTTGATCCCTCGATGTAAGAAGAGCGTCAGACGCGTGCTGGATGGTGCGGGGAGTTTCATCGTAAGTGGAATGGTTCAAGTGTTTGGGTTATTGACGCCGACGTGTGAGTATACGCATGATGAACGTTGGTTGATTGAGTACCTGCATTTACAGATCATGGGTCACGGTATCCATCGCTCCTGCCTCGGATGGGGTTTGTGTCCAGTGTCGCGGAAAGCGCAGAATGATTGACCGAGAGACAATGACGTCATAGCAGATATCTTTGTCATGTGACTGTCATGAGCACACTCCCATGCGAGTCACATATAGGGAATCGTCGTTGGGCAATTGTTATGACGAAAGATTGCATCGTGTCATGAACTCATTCAGATTTATTCTAGTCAAGGAAATTATCTAATTTGAAGAAGAAATGATGGGATTGACCTCGAAATTCATGCTTAGCAGGCACTACGCATCACGTGAGTATCTATCTTGCTGGGAAGGAGGAGTTGGGTGAGGATCAGGATGAGTTGCATGAGTGATTTGAGTTGTTGTAGTCAAGATCTTGTGCAGAAATCTCCCAAAGAGCAGTTATTTGGATCCAAAGAGGTAATCATTGGTTTTAGGCTCGACATTCATCCTTTGGCGATGCCTGCCGTCACGTGTAAATCCTTGTACTTATGCTTGGCGAGCTTGTGCGAATAGTCGACCTGCAAACTGGGTTATGAACTTGCTCAAATACTACCAAATCAAGTAATTGCTCTGCCCTAAAGAAGAAACCATGCGATTGGCCTCGACATTCATCTTCTACGAGTCCTGCGTCAACTATCTTCACGTGCTAATCTGTGCTTATGCCTGCCTGGTGCTTGTGCGGATCAGTCAGGTCTGGTTACTGAGTCACGAACTTGCTCAGAAACTTCTTAATTAGGCAATTGATCTGACCAAAAGACGAAATAGTAGGATTTGCGCTCGACAATCATCCTCTCATCCTCGACATACATCCTCTCATCCATCCTCTCATCCTCGACATACATCCTCTCATCCTCGACATACATCCTCTGATCCTCTATATTCATCCTCCTAGTTACCGAGTCATGAACTTGCTGAGAAATTCCTTAGTTAGGTAATTTATCTGACTAGAAGAAGAAATGGTTAGATTTTTGCCCTCGACAATTCGTCCTCCCATCCTCGACATTCGTCCCTACTTACTGAGTCATGAACTTGCTCAGAAATTCCTTAGTTGGGTAACTTATCTGACTAAAAGAAGAAATGTTTAGATTTGCCTCGACATTCATCCTCGACATTCATCCTTTCCCATCGCGGCCCCTAACAAATCGTGCTAATAATCAGCATCGTCACAAATACCATTATCTTGACAGCCAACTTGACTCTCCGGCCTCAAAGTCGGATTCGCCTGAATCTACCAGGCTCTCGTCGCCCCATCCCAAATATCAAAAGGGGTATCGCAACCCGGAGGCTGGCCAAAAACACACAACCTATTAACATCAACCCCTTGGAGATGTACACCACAGAGTCCCCCTGGTCTTGACCATGCTGGTCCCCCACGACCATCCCATTTATCATCTCTGTCCCCGACTCGCTGTGCCCTCTACTCATCATGCGTCTAATTAATGGCTTGTGAATCATCGGAATGCAGAGTGCCATAGCCAGAGCTAGCACCGCCGTCGATGCCACGGCTAGTCATAAGACGGTGCAGGAAGATGTTTGCTGCCTGTATGGTGAAACGGAGATAATGTTAGTGTCTCTCCTCGGCTTTTGTACACAATCGATATCAAATTTCAGCTGGCTGTGTCCATTTCTTATTATGATTCCTCAGTGTCATGTTGACGGGGATCTTCAGTCTCCGTATTCGACTCAGCATTCTCATATGCTCGTGCGGCGGCCCGCAGCTCTGCCTCGTACTCACTTCATGCAACTCCATGTCAGGGGCCGTGCCCGGATTTTAAAAGGATGCAAAAGGCATAATGATTGAGATGTGGAGTGGAAAGGGCTTACCATCTTGCAGCTTCCAGCCGCTGGATCCAACGTGCCGTGATTTTTAATCGCTCTCGCACACTGGTGGCTGGGAGAAGGAGGTACTTTTCCTCCTCCGCAATGGGTAGCACACTCGCAAACCAGTACGGAAATGTGGCTGGATCCGATGGTGGCTGTCCATATGCTTCGAGAACACGTTGATGAAGCCATCGGGCGGATTTCGCCCGAGCTTGTTCGACAAATTCCAATCCATATTCCAACAGTCGCTGTGTAGACATGCTTTGAATCCGGGCCTCGGCCTCGTTGGTTGAAGAAGGCTCCGTCCCGGTCTCATGTGATTCCATGTTTTCTTCCTCATGCACAGGAATGTCGTCGATTCGTTGAACTTGGCCCACCAAATACCCGTCCACCATCGATGTGCTGATGATTCGGAACCGGTACATTCCTCGCGTCTCAATCAAGCTACGTCCGTCAGGGAAAATTTCGATTCGTTCAATGAACAGGACAGTCCCGTAATTCATATAGGGCGGTTGTTCCGGTGGTGCTCCACGAGGACGGTACGACAACATTCCAAACTTCCGCGATCCGTTCTCAATGGCTCTTCTGATCATCAGGCGATATCGAGGCTCAAAAATGTGCAAAAATGTTGGCATCTGTGGGTATGCTAACGTGCACGGGAACAATGGTAGGCTGCTCTCCTCGTCCACTGTATCTTCTTCACTCTCAATGGCTATCCGAGCATTAAGAAGGTCGGGTAGCAGGTGTTGGAGAAGATGGGTGATTCTCTTATTGCTAGGCTCGCCCGTAGCACTCGGTAGAACCGTCAGCCTCCGCCGGCACATGGGACAGACATTAGAGTGGTCCATGGCCCGAGCAAAACATTTTCGACAATAGGTGTGCCCACATGTGGTGGTCAACGGATCCAGCATAATCTGATAGCACACTTGGCATTCCAGCTCCGACTTGGCAATCTCTTGAAGACTTTGATGGACCGTCTTGTCCAGTGATCCAATCGCCTCTTCCGAGTTACTCTCCAAAGGTGTATACGAGAGGTCGGAGTGGTAGTTGAGTTCGCCCATGCGAGCAAGAATGTAAGAAGCCACGATCCGTCCTCCGTGGAGAACTCGTGATCGTGGCATGATGTCCATGGCAGAATCTGCCACTCGCGACAGGTCCAGGGTTTCCTCCAACAGCAATGGCAGACCAGGAGCCTCGGTGGAATATGTCGACATTTGACCCTCGACCACCTCTATAATCTTGTTCACAGTCACATCCGTTCCACAGTCGCCTAGGGAATGCTCCAAGCCGCAATCCCTAAAGGGGCAGACGAAGCCTTCCGATCGCCCCTGGATCTGAGGATATGTGATGTTTTCTCGTTTGTAGACGGGCGGTATGCATGTTTTGCACATGGAGTTGCCGCAAGGGAGAGCGACGGGGTCTCGAAGCGGGTAGGAACATAGTGAGCATTGGAACAGTTTCACGATTCGTCGGGCATCGTGAGTGGGATGAAACCCGCCCTGAGCTGTCGATGCTGGGTCACCATTTCCGCTCATCTGAGCGGTGGTGACAGGGTGATGCTTCAGGGTGGTATGATGGAGTCCCCCAATAAGTCCGCCTCTTTTGCACGTAGGCCTCTCAAGGCATAAGTTTGGTGCAGTCCATGAAATATATGGTCTATCCGGACCGATCCAAGGCCTCAGAGGGAAAGGAGCTACTTAGGTCGTAGGTGTGTGAATCACGAGAAACGGGTCAGAGGGGCCTGCGACAAAGAGAATTGGGGATGGGCTTGTTGTTTTTGATGACGTTGACAAGGCCGCTCGACGAGACTTTCATGTGGAGTTGAAATCGAGTAATTGTGTCGCAATCATTCTTGAGGGACACCAGGTAAAGGAGGATTTGTCCTGGTTATGAATCAATTGAAGCAATTGGAAAAGGAAGATCAACGACGTGTAGACTTTTGATGTGCTGCAAAGGACCAGTGGCCGCCATGCACTGCATTTGGAGGCATTGGTGTGAGATGTTAGCGACTGTCTCAGCATGCTGCGGAGCCAGGCACCACCCACAATGTGGCACTCTGGTACCAGGGTGACACGGATCTCGCAGTCTGGTGGGATGGCGAAACCATGTCTGAGGATTGGTGAATAGCCGGGCCCATGAAAGATTGGATCCAGCAGTGGGAGTGGCCGGTGGATGATGACCACAGGGCGAAACAGCGCGGCCACTGGCCACACGACCGTAACAGTCGATGCGAGACAAATGTCCAGGTGGTCGGAGATCTGGAATTCTGGTTAGGGATCGAGAAAAGGCCAGGATCAAATCGAGGGCCGAGGCCGACCGTCTCGCTAGTCGTGTCACGAGTACCAATGAGATGAAGGGAGGCCTGCCATGGCCTCGGCGGGCACTATGCCTCTTTGGGCCACCTCACGCCAATTATTTTGCTCTTTCCTGATTTTTCCACATGTGGAGGCGTCATCGATCTAAATTCTTGGCAGGCACCACCAGTCACGTGGATCACGTGGTCATGACAAACGCAGACAGGTGACTTCAATTGCCACCACTCAATATCATATATGGCTCTTGTACGTGTCATCGACACAACGTTTGTGTAGCGCTCAAGCCATCAAAGTGTCTTTACTTGTTAAAGATTCCACGCCAGGCATCCCTCCAGAGGCATCCGCCATCCACCGTCTTGCCAGCCATTCTCGGTCACCCGACGACCCGTTTGTGGTGTAGAGTACGTATACCCATCTGACACTGTCTCTGCTCAAACCGCCAATCAAACAGACCCAAAGGCAACCGACCTCCCTTTTGATGGAACCCATATCCAGATAGGCATCGTAGCCAGCTGCCATGCCTCTCCTGCGCCAGATGTTCATATATACCTCAAACATATCATAATGTCCATACCCACAACCAGTGCCTCACACCGTCGTGCGCCATCACTGACAAAACCATCTAAAATCGATCATCATAACGAGTTTCCAGCTCGTCTATCTTTCAAAGCTTATGTTCTCGTTCGTGACGTGCTCTGCATTCTGCTCATGTTCACCTCCTCTGTCGCGTATGGGAGCTAACGTCAGGACAATCACCCCGTGTCAGAACCAGTTGATTCCGACATCTCCTCGTCCAGAATGACTCGTCTCATAACACTAGGGCTAAACAAGTTCAAGATCTTGTGTCGAGCCTGCTGCCGGTAGTGGTGACTTTCTAGGATCGCCAGAGCCTTTCGGAACATGTCCGTGTCTGCGAATGGCGCCGGGTGCTTCGTCTTCATCGTGTGTAGTTCTCCGCTCGCTTTCTTGTACATGACTGTGTTGCCGAGTTCGACCAGGGATTTCAATATCTTTGCCTTGATCGGGTCTTCATCGGTGGTGGCGGCCCGATATGCTTCCTCTTTCTGTGCTGTGGTTGTGATAGGAGCTGATTGCGATGGAACAGGTTTCTGTCTTCGGTCAGTATCGTCCCATGATAAGGTACGCCCAACTTACCAAACATAGGGCCTCCAGGTTACGAGGAATGCAAAACCCTAATGATCGTCCCCGCGGGTCCACCGTTGTCTCCCATCCATTTTCTGCCAGCATCTCGAACCCGTGGAGTGTTCGCGATATCAAGCCCAACACAAAGCATGCCGTACCTCGCATGGACAAGACTTCGGCCCCCTCGGCGATCCGCACAATCGCGGTGACCACATTAGCTTCTTCCAAGAAGGGCGCACCCAGGTCCATCGATCCGATGTTGCCGACCGCCCACATACACCCTTTGACTTTGTTCAGCATTTCTGGGTCATCTTCGTCCAGGTGAAAATCCCGAATAGTAGACGAGAATTCGTAGAAATGGCCTGACTTGAGTAAAAGCCTGCATCCTTCCTCTGTCCTGGCAAGCTCTCGGTAGAAATGCGGAGGGGCAATGCCAATGTCATGTGGCTCCACCGCTGGATCTTCATGAAAGGTGGTCTTGAGGCTCCCGTCCAGGTAGGCCCGAAGGATCGAGGCTTCGACAAGTGCGACGTACGCGTCGTTGCGGCCCAGAAACCAGTCGTCCATTTCTTGGGTAATGTAGTCCAAACCGCTGAGATAGCGATAGCCTACAGAAGTCGCCAAAAATCTCAAAAGGAGCGGTGCGGCGATTTCCCCGAGATGATCCAGGGACGGGCGGCACTTGACTACATATTCGAGTTGGCCGCGTTGGTTGCACGCCTCCTCGAGGATCTTGATGGCGACTTCACACACTTCGACATCCGGATCATACAGTTGCGTCAACACTAGGCGCAAGGCCCAGTGGGAACTGGCAGGGTCTTGCAGGCCGGACGAGTACTGCACCCGGCCAACAGCATACCGTCGTAGCAGCTTGGTCGAGAACAGCCGGATCTCTTTGGTACTGGAAGTCAGTGCCTTGGAAAGAATGACACGCAGGTGCGAGTCCAGAGTGAAGTCCATATTACCCAGGAGGGCTTTGACCAGGTCTGGACGTTGCCTGAGTTCTATCAAGTGGTAGAACATGTCCATCATGTGCCACTGCTCCATCAGGCGCACCCCGTCGTTGCTATGGCTGAGTGCACCGAGCATGGCAAAATATCCACCGCTGAGGGTTTCGGCCATTTGAAGATGATCGAACAACGGCGTGGCCGATGTGAGGCCGCTGTGAGGGTCCACCTGTGCCAGACACTCTGCAATTTGTCGAAGAAGCTTATTCTCGGCAAGGTAAGTGAGCCCCAGGGCGGACTGAGTCAGTGTACGCACCAGCACACAACCGGTACGCACATAGCGTTGATTGGGTCGAGTATTACGAATCATGGAGAATCGGTACTTGAACGGTCTGAAGAAGCCAATCAACCTCTTGAGGAATTTGGGGTATTTGATGGCTTCTTCGAGTCGCTTGGGGTTCAACAACGGCCCTTCGACCAATCCGTGAATGATTTCCCATTTCCACTTGAGGTAGTTTGAATGCCCCGGAACCTGAGTGTCGATCATGGCCTGTCTGAAATGGTCCGCGTCCATGAGCACCGTGTATTTGGATCGTTCGATGGCTTGTGGGCCGACGGCGAGCTCATCAACGGGCAATACGCGCCCATAATTGGAGGATGTAGTCTTATTGAGCACTCGATTGATGCTTTCGATCTGGTAGATCATGCTCGTGTTGATGGCCGATTCCTCGGACCCCGTGTCCTGGGCGAGGGGCACAAGATCGCCCAGTACTTGGATCTGAGCGCTGATCGAGTCTGGAAGTGAGTGATGAGCCAATTTGAGGACTTCTGTCAGCAAAAGTGTTGCCTTTCTCTTCAACGTCTGGTCCTCCTCGACTTTAACCAATTCGACCAAGGCGGGTATCAGGCCAGCACTGATGAGGGCGGCCAAAACCAGAGCAGAGAAATGGTAGGTGAGATCGAATCTGCCTTCAGCATGATACTCTGCCAACTGACGCTGGGACGGAGGGTCAACAGGCATCGCGTTGACACGACCATATGTTGTGAGGCGCCGCCCAGCCAGGAACGAGCTTGACCATGATGGAGGTTTGATACGGAGGACGTCAAAGAATAGTTCAAGGACGGTATCACGAGATGAGGGGATGGGGTAGACTAGAGAGTCGATGAGAGATCGAAGAGAGGATGCACCGTTGACGGCGAGGAGGAGAAAGCCGGGCCAGGTCTTCAGCATGGCGGAAATGGCCTGAGCACAAGTCTTGAGCTTTTCTTCGTTGCCATTTAGAAGTAAGGGATCGGTAAAAGGGGCAAACATGGCTTCAAATTCTCGGCCTGTGTGTAGGTAGCGCCGCTGATGAGGGCTGTCGAGGATGTGGAGAAAACTGGCTACGAGACCTTCGGGGGCTGGGAAGGTACCGTCGGCGAGGGCGTCTGTGAGAGTGCTCATTCCGTCAGCGGAGACGAGGAGTTCGGTGTCCTTGGTCAGGATCTCGGCCAACGTGAGTAAGCAAATGTCCTTGAGGCGGTCGTCATAAGTTTCTGCGACGGCAACTAAGCTGCGGACGACAGCACGAGAGATCTCGTGGACGCCATCCTTGACGTCGAGGAAAGCCCGTACAAACTTGACAGCTTGCTCCCTTTCCAAGACAGCCTTTTCCCTCTTGACCAGAGATAAAATGATGAGTTCGTCGGTGTGCAGAGCACGAATGGTGTGCAATGACTTTCTGTCTGCAATCGCATGCCTCGTGAGTCTGTAGCCGGCGGCGACGACGTCTGAGCTCTCACTGAGCAGCATGAGCTGGACTCTGAGGCTGAAGACAGACCATGCGAGATCATATTTGAGAGTGGGGTTCCGCTTGAGAAGGTCGACGAGGGTATTTGCGCGCTCGATGTAGTAGTCGGGCTGCATGCCGTCCATCTCGAGCTGCTGGAGGATGTCAGTCAAAACGACAGTGGGGCTCTCAGTGTCGAGGGGGTCAGAAGGTTCGACAGATTGAGCCGGCGGGGGAGGTTTTAGTGGGCTTCCTCGAAAGTAGCTGGACTGTCTCTTGCTGGGAGGGGTGGTAGGACTTTGGGCACGCAAGATCTCCTGGTCGAGTTGATGCTTCAACTCTGCGAGCTTGCGGTTTGACGTGCCGAGTTCGACCTCGACACGCTGACGCTGTTCCTTGGTCTGCTTATTGTTTTTGCTCAGAAGAGCTTCCAACATGTTCTCGGTGCCGAGTTTGATCTTCATCTCTTTGGCAATCTTGTCGCGAACGGCAGCCTGGCGTTGTTCGGACAGATTGGCAGCATCAGCATCTTGATACTGGGGGAATGGACGAGTGGAGTTCGCAGCTGCGGTCTCTGGGAGTGGGGTGGCTCTTGCCGCTGCACTTCTCATCTCCGTATTGAACATGCCGGGCTGGACGGCGGATGGCAAGGTTCCTGTATAGGATTTCTGACCAGGGTGCGGAGTGCCGCCTGATGTCGAGCGTCCATCTTGGAAAGAGGGGCGATGGGAGGAGGTAATATCATCGCTTTTTCTGGAAAGGGGCCTTGCAGCAAAAGCTCTGCCTTGAGTGGGCGTCACCGAGTAGCCTGACCCTGTCTCCGAGGAGGCCATCTAGCCATGGAGGATGGGTGTCGTCTGGTGGACGTGATGTATGTGCTGAATGGGCAGGCGTGAACGCGGGGTGGTAGTGAGAGACGGTGGAAGTCGGGTCAAGGTGGTAGGAGCAAGCGAGTCAGCTCAGAGGACAGGTAGTGATTGCCGAGGATGTGAGGAATGGCAATGAGAAGAAACAACAGGTATACTGCGAACGAAGTTGAGGTGGTTAAAGTTGGTAAGGGAATCGAAATGAGCGACCAGGAAAGTGTGGATTTGGAGGCTCAAGATGTCATGATGATGATAACAGATGGGAGCACTAAACTCGATCACAGACCGTAGTGTTGAAGGGGGCTCGGTGACATGCACAATGACAAGTTGAGGAGATGAGGTGTTGAGAGCGGAAGTGTATGACAAGCGAAGGTGGTGTTGATGAGGGAAGCGGGTATGTGTTGAAGGTTGGATTGGGACGATTACTACGCAAGTCACTGCAAGTGTACGGAGTACGGTTAGTAGTCGAGGGTGGGACTGGCACAGTGCCCAAGAGATGATGCGGAGAACAAGGGACCAGGGGTCAAGGACGAGGGATCTGAGACCAAACCCTCAGACACGATCTCTGGGTACCTAAGTTAGGTAGTTTAGGGGAGCCCAAGTCACGCTTTGACGCTTTTGACGCTTGAACAACCCCTCACTACCCCCAGGCCCCCGCGCCTCCCAAAGCCCCCTCGGCCCTCCCAAAGCCCCTCGGCCTCATCCAGCACCTAAGTTAGATTTACGAAGCAACAGAGAGCTTCAGTGCTTGGGTGTATATTGCACCCTCTGAGATTCGCGAATTCAAGAACTGCATCTGAAGTCTCAAAAAAGAAGGAAGCTCAGTGGATGCCAATAAACTCTTGACTCTTGAGGTAGGCACGCGTCTAGGATCGAGTATACACATTTCTCTTCTCCTTCGCTCCTGCCATCTGACCTGAGCAGAAAATTGGACGCGTCTCATACCCCAAGCAGCAACAGCGCATGAGTATTTACCCTTCGCACCTTCCCTTTCCTTCTCTTGCCAACCAAGTAGTACTTTTCTCTCTTCTCTGCAACAAGTCCAGCTTCACCGGCATGCCGTCTTCAAGTCCTCCCCAGCTTCAATCTTCAATCTTCAATCGTCAAGCTTCTGTACCTTTGGCACTGAAAACATCTTTCCACCGCGCCCCTCACCCCTTCTGACTTCTCTCGAGTTTTCGTTGTGACCAACATTGATAGCACCCACCTCCTGTGAGCCTACTCCCTACCTGCTACCAATCACTTCTGTTAGAACAAACACACCACTCAGTCGCCCCTGTTGACAGAACTTGTCTGCCTTTTCTTCGTGTCTATGGTAAATGCTAAAAGCCAAAGAACCACCTAGCTAGACCTGTGGTTTCCACATTGAACCACGTCCCTCCAAGTCGTTGGGTCAGTACACTCCCCTGCCCACAAACAGATGACAACGCCACTCTACCAACAGCCCTCACGGTCCGGCCCGGTGCGCAGACGTCATGTCGGATCAAGGTTCGAGCGAGTCAAGACATTCGCCATCGATATCGAGTCTCAATGCCGCTGCTATCATCTCAATCTTTGTCTCCTGCAGTCCGCTTCCTATGTTAGATCTCTGATGGCGACCGCATGCATTCCGTGTTGAACAACGCTCTGCAACGAGCACTCTGCATGATATTTCCGGTGAATCCTACTTTGCCTTCAAACGCTGGATCATCTGCCGTCGCTCCCTGGCCATCCCCAACGTGCACAGGACTGAGATATCCTTCGTCCTTTGGTGGTTCATAATGATTCATGACCTGAGGATTCACCACCACACACCTCAAATCCCCCGACCGGCAGAATGCAGACATGGATACATCATATGCTTCGTCACCACCGGTAGCGAGGAGCTTGACGATCTTGGGGGCACTTTGGCGTGTCACTCCATACCCAAACGTGCATACCGTCATCCATGACGTCTGCACGTACCGATAGTTCTCCTCCAACTTGTCCCGTAGGAAATGCTTCGACCACCCCGAGTACAGTTCTGTTTTACAGCGACTCTCGTCCCAGTACTTCCGCATGGGAGGCATCCAATCTTCTATCGCAGATCCGCAGTGTCCCAGCCAGAGAACGTCCCAATTTTCGCCATATGGTCGTGTGCTGTTGGCCGGCGTTCCCATGAATTCTCGCACATTGTCAGAAACCAAACGCATTTGGTCCTTCAGCCTGACATCGAAGTCGACGTCGTCCTCCACAATGAGCGCCGTCTCAAATCCCGACCCGATCACAAATTTCAGTAGGTCGATGTGCGCCAGCCATGCAGTTGCCGATCCATGCCCAGGCGTCTTCCTTCGATCGCCTTTCCCGATGTTTTCGAATGCCACAATAAGTTCCTGCGGGTTTTGCGGCTGCGTTGGGATCGTAAAGTCGAGGCCAACGAGATCGGACGCTGCTTTTAGCCCTCGTGTTCGCCAACTATCGCCAGTGGAGAGTGCAAGAAGCTTTCCAAACTTTGAGACTGTGTCAGCACAATCACTCTTCCTCTTATCCGCGAAAAATCTGTGTCTACTCACCCCAAGCGTAGAGTTTGCGGCAGCCTCCCAGCATGTATTGACATTGTCTCCGGGAAAAGACTGACTAATGTGATGATGGATCTCTTTGCTGATCGTCTTTGGTCGGGGCAAGAAAAATATCAACGAGAGAACTGCAACCGCAAAAGCAGGGTAAACCAAATAATGGTTCCAGTTACGCCAAATGTTTCGCAGACAGCCGCCAGACATTTTGATCGGGGATCAAGAAACTCATTAGGACATTGCGAATCGCCTCGTCGACAGGACTCGGCTCAAGGTCATTCTAGGCAGTCAGGAATGCTGTTTCGCATCTACGAGATGCAATAGGTCCTTGAATGCTGTCTCGTGCAACTCACCTTCAGTCGTCCCACGAGGGGTGTGAGTCCTCTCTGACACCATTCGAGAGCCAACATAAAGCATGGGTTCACAGCCGGCACTCGGGCTCACCCCTCGATTTTGTACCAGATTCACTAGGTATGAACGAGTGTCTCTTTCGCTTAGCATTCTTTACACACTGGCCCACGCTAATGCACGCGCTGTCTGCCTGGTGAGAACAGACAGGTAGTGGCATGATCCCCCATGGCTTGGTGAGCTTGTCCTTGGAGAAACTTTACAACACTGTTTCACGGCGCGGGCCTTCGAACCTCTTTCGGGAATTGGGCGCCAGATGTAAGCCTAAGCTGACCGCACCTCAGATCGTTCGAGTCTTCACTCATGGGCAGCCTTTGTTATCTTTGAACTAACTAGGCTCAGATGCCTATTTTTAGCCCACTATTTGCTAGGCACTATCCCTCCTGTCGTGCCTTGTCAAGATTCGAATGGCATAAAAGATACCTAGCGCCCAATCTTGGCAGGAAGCTGTCCCAATAGACCACGGATACCAATTTCTCTCGGTCCCTCATGAGGGCACAACAAAGCGACTTCACTCGAAGTTCCTGCAGAGCGCTAAAAGCTATTTATCACTCCATCTGGTGAGACATCGGCAAAGTACTGCTCTCCCAGATTCTTCACGAACCTTCAAACTGACATTTAAGACATGACCTTCGTATGTGATCCCTGGAACTGTATTACAGTCACATTGCACTTTGAGTCTCTTTTTCATCTCATTGAGGTGCTGTAAACATTGTGTGGGTTCAAAGGGTTGGGTTGGTGTCGCCATTAATCAGCTTTTGACAAATTACCCTCTGCGGCCTGGTTAGTCCTGTGAGAGCGATTGGGATTGATTCCTAGTGAATACATTCAAACGGGCCGAAAAAATGAAAATTACTTACCTATTACAGCTTGAAGGGCAACGCACAACTCTCGTGCTATATATCTTGCCGACCTACCTGCACAGGCTCTGATGCTCAGCCAGAAGTCTGATGCGCTCTACTCTAACTGTGCACCGCTTATTACAGCTGGCAAGTCCATCTCTCTTTCAAGCATGGGCGCTTTGGTGCCCAATATAACTAATCTTAGGATCACACTGAATCGAGAAGGAGATCCTAAGTGCGTCCAGATGCGCGGGTCATTCCACAATCTACAGATCTTCCACGTTGATACATGCTACTAGTTGCTCAGGACCAGGTCAAAGTCTTCTACCAACTTTACCTGGCCTGGTGTAGACAAGCTCCATCGTTAAAACAACCCCACAATTCTCATGTAGGGAAAATGACTTTTTTAACATCAGTTTGAGTGCATTCTGTCGGACATTAACACCTTTGCATAAGGGTTGGTAATATCTCCCAGCCTCCTGTACACTGTAGAGCCTTACCTTTGGCTATAGATAGATGGGCTTCCCCCTTAGCATCAAGGAAGCCCAAGCGACTCATTCACCTCAAACTTTGACACATTCGTTGGCCCGTCTTTGCACTGCTGCACATATGGCAGGGTTACCAACGGAAATGGCCTGTATGGTTTAGTTGACCATTTAGTAGCCTATGGCAGACGTCCCAGAAAGACAGGTGAATGCAGGGATTGATGATCGACCAGGGGACTTGGGCTTGCATCGTGTCAAAGCCTTCTCCAAAGCCTCCAGACTTGCGCCACAGGTAGCTAACCCAGAGAGTTGTATAACAAGACCAGTCTCTTCGTGGGCTCATTTGCATACATCTCTTCCATTCTCTCGACAATGGACAGCAAAGACGAGGAGACCGGCGAAACAAGCCAAGTTATCGAGAGATATTCTGTCTTTACCACACCAGAAAGATGGTATATTGTGATTCTAGCCTCGTTTGCCGCCTGGTTTTCATCGGTGAACAATTTTGTCTACTACCCCGCCATGCCGTTGCTGGCCAGCACATTCAACGTCTCAATTGACAAGATTAATCTGACTGTCACGTCATATATCGCGGTTGCGACAATTGCCCCGACTTTGGCCGGCGATGCTGCCGATGTGTTGGGCAGACGGCCGGTATACATTGTCGCTCTCAGCACCTACTTGATTGCCAATATAGCGATAGCCTTAACGCACACATATTCAGCTCTCTTGGGACTTCGAGTCTTGCAAGCTTTCGCTGTGTCTGGTATGTTATTTCATAGTAGCGTTGAGCCATTCTCGGCTCCTTACGCGCATAACCTCATTTCTTCCCAGGCACCATCTCGATCGCATACGGCGTGGTGACCGACGTTGCATCTCCTGCCGAAAGAGGGACTTTCGTCAGTGCAGTTTCATTCGCGTTGGTGTCCTCTTTTTTTGTCATAACAGAACGAACCCCCCTTTTTTAGATTGACATCTTGATAGAGCAACCATCGCACCATCTCTCGGGCCCATACTCGGAGGAGCCCTGACCTATGCAGGCGGTTGGGTCTGGATATTCTGGTTCCTGGCCATTGCCGCAGGGTTATGCTTGGTCCTCATCATTTTTCTCCTCCCTGAAACCTCACGCAACATCGTGGGC